TGCAGCTAGGGCAATCCGCTGGGAAGCGACCGAAACCATATTTTTTGAAGAAAAAAAACATCGGATGCACGCTGATACCTTAACAGAAAAACCTGGACAACCGAGGGAACGAATGCTTCAAAAAAGGGGCACATTACCCCTCTCCCTTTGGCGGCGCCCACGGTGGTGCGTGGCCACTGGCGGCCGCTGGCCAGAGTTTCAGATTGTCGAACGTGACAGAACGATCCCGGAAGGCCAGGAGATCGGTGTCGGCGACCTGGCTGGGTCGTAACATAGGAGAGGGGCGACGTCCTGTCCGCCAGCTTGCCTGCATTTGTGCAGACATGCATATGAACCAAGCCTGTTTGGTAGAAACTATAGATGCCGACTTTCTGTAGTGCGGTATGCGCCGTTCCTGGAGCCAACTCAGCGTCAACACCGGTGGTTTGGGAGCTGATGATACCGGGTTTTGACCGGTACCAATGAATGCCGCCATGCATTGGGTGCTTGCAGATCAAAAGGCTCTGCCAGCCGAAGTCTGCCGGTTCCAAGCCTAAAGCCGTATGGCGCATCTGAGTGGGCCGGTGCCGATACGGTGTCGGCACTACGTGTTGAGGTAGTGACGAAGCCGCAGCATAAACACTAAACGTATCGGCCAGTCCAAAGAACCACAAAATCCTGCCATCGTCATACATACAGTGGTGCAAGCGGACACGGCTGTACCACTGCCACCTCATCCGGCAAAACCGACAGCTCGGCTACATAAACAGTGAACACACGGCGGGAGCTGACTGCTCCGCCACTGGAGTGCCCCATTCCCCAGCGCGGTATTCCCAGCAGCGACGCTCTTTGGACTTTTCCGTCCACAATCAGAGTATAAGAGCCGATGCTGGCGTATTGACGGCACCACACAGCTCTCGAGCGCCTTGCCCTTCATCCGCAGCCGCGGGTATCCCGTCTGCCAGCTCAGCTCCCAGGTCAGTCAGTCTCTGCCAGCTCAGCCCCCAGGTCAGTCACGCCACAGGGAGGCCCACGGGATTCAGGGTATTGGGCGCCATATCATCTGGCAGTTGGCGGACCCCTGAAACCAAAATCACCATCATCGGGCCTCCGTGCAAACACCTTTATTCGTGAGCGTAGCCGCCTCGCCAGCCGCTGGGATCATGACCACAGCGGCATTGAGTCAGATTGGGATACTTTTGTTTTCAACACTTAAAACAGAATCAAAGTGGATCGGTGACCAAAAACATTGGATGTGTGGTAACACCACTGCCTACATAAGCGTACTTTTGCAAAAGGAGCGTTGGGGGTTGAGCAGTAAAAAGTGGGACAACCTGCTCCCAAAATACATTAACAACCGGGCCACTCCTTTCTCAAAGTTAGGGATAGCCCACCAAGCTGAAAAGAAAACTTTACTCCTGCCTGCCTTTCCTCATGGCAGCCGCGGTGTCATATCGTTTCTAACCGACTGCACTGTTTTCGTTTCCGCTCGTGACACAGCTTTGTTTCGCGACAGCTCACAACTTACATGGCCACCCCGTCCACAGCCATGCTCCGTGGACCGTTCCTGCTGGTTCTGCTCGCTGCCGTCGCGCTGAGCAGCGCCAAGCCGATGCCGGGTGACGACGACGAGCGCGCCGGCGCCGGCGAGGCGGCGCGGGAGGCGGCGCAGGAGGCCGCCTCCAACGACAGGGGCTGGTCGGGCGGCTTCAGTCCGCCGTCGGCCGGTGCCCGCGTCTGGAGCTCCGACGACGGCAGGGCCCACGTGGGGGTGGCCGTCAGCTCCGACGGCAGAGACCACGGCGCCGGCTTCGGCTTCAGCTTCAACTTCTGATCGGTCTCCGGTCACTACAGCCTTCTGATGGTCGGCCGAGAACTCATCCACATTAGATCGGTTCGACGTACCGACGCTGAATGCTAAAGACGGGTGTGTCTTGCATATCGAGCGAATGAACCTATTGCATGAGAGATAATATGCTGTTGGCCATTCTTTTACGTGTTGTCCATGTCTGAATACAATATTGTTGTGCACGTGCGACAATTCTTCTAGTTTAGTCAAAGGCAACCTTGATTCCACTCATTCACTCAAATTTCAACACAGACCTTCTTGCTATGTTGAGGAAGCAGGCTACGCGCGGGCTTCAGGGGATAAGCTGGGTTTGAGTGATTGTTTTGTTGTGCATCCCCCCCCCCCCTCCCACGCCATTACGAAATCTTACATTTGCCACTGGACGTGTAGCGTGAAAACGTGAAGGAACAGCATATGAATAAGTCCAGAACCGAAGTCACATTGGCAACAAATGCAAATAAATTACGTTCCTCGCATTTCACATCTTGACGAATTTTGGATTTTCGATATGAGTACAATCGTAAGATTGAGCTGAACATCCATGTCCAGTATTGAGAGGAAATCGTGTAGAAAGTCACCAACTCCGCAAAATTGCCAGCCAAAAGACCATAACTGTTTAGCGTGGCGAATCGTTCGATGGAAGGAAGCCAAACAAATCTACACATCCGCGAAAAGCCGAGCAAAACTGCATCTGTTAATAAAACAATATCTGCGCGCAAGATTAGCCCGAAGAAACGCAGTAAAGCCGCAATTGGCCATTACATTTTTTTTTTACTCAATTTTACCAGCAGCCTTTGCTAACGAAACATGAGATGAAAACAGACGCAATTTCCTTCCATTGAACCATACCCATGCGCTCAAGATGCGCATAATTGTCTCGTACTATCTAAAGCTTGTTCTTAGCAAAACGAAAAAAAACGCATGTGGCAAATGCCCTCTATCTCCATTGCATGAGACCAGCGTCGCAAAGTTCGTCCAGCTGGGTATCAGGAAGGTCAATATTACCAGATTCATGCTATCAGATATTCGTCTCCACCAATGTCTCCGCCTCCATCATTTTTCTCCGCTGCTCATTTGTTACCCTATGACTCCGAACCCTCATATCCTGGCAAGGGGCGCTGCCAGCATTCGCGGCGAATCATAGAAGCCCCTACTTCCATGATTTGCGACGGGGGGGGGGGGGGGATTTTTAACGTTCAAGCCCAAGCCCCGTCGATAGTACCTACGTGCCGCAAGCGATCTCAAAGAGACCCTACTGGCACTAAAAGGTACAGTACCTAGCGTACCAATGAATGATTTATCTTGGTTTGCCTTGGTGTCTTAAACCATTGTTTCAGCTGCGCACCGCACGCCTATCCACTCGGCTGTCGCTGATCCTGTTACGCAGCAAAACTGGACCACAACATTTCATCGGGATCACCAAATTACAGCTGTTGGGGCCATCAACATACCCCAACCAATGAAAGAGAACTTTAAAGTGACATTCGCTGGGCCAGACCTTGCCCTGCTTGGAAAATAACCCCAGCTTGATGATGAGCGGACTGTTTCGCGCTCTTGGACTCTGACCTCCATCACGGCCTTCTTGTCCAACAGCGCGGGTGGGGGTGAAGCGATCGGCGCAGGCGGCCCTCTAACTAACAATCGAGGGCTCGACCAGCGGAGGGCGGGGGTTCGTTAAGAGCTCTGGCCAACCCTTGGGGACCTACGAACCCAATAGGTCTCAAATGCGGCCCCTGGAGACCCAGGGAACACGTTTCTCTTATGCTACCCTGCCTGCACCCAGAGGCCCCGAGCTGCCGTAGGGAGTTGGTCGGTTGGGGGGGGGGGGGGAGGGGGAGGGGGCTCTGAGTGGCCAAGAGGGTCCCGACCCCGAGTGTCCAGAGGGGCGTGAGGATGCAAATAAATGTTTGTGACTATCAGACGGGCCGGTAAGCTGCCAGTGGCAGCGGACCCTCAATATTCAGACGAGCACTCGCGTGGCCTGAAAGACCGCTGAACAATCAAAGGTGCCCATTGGTGACCAGAGTGACCCTGGGCGGCCAGTGCAGCCCTAACGCAGTCAGAAAAAAGTAACACCGCTGGTCGGGGACCCATCAATGGCTGCAGAGGCCCGTGAGTGGTCAGTATGCGATGCGAACCATTTGTTGCCATGTAATGGGAAGGAGGGGGGGGGGGGGGGGGCGACTATACCCCCGCGAGCTACACACTTGGCTGCTCCACTGACTGTAAAGCTTTTTCCATAGCACATATTGGTATTAATCATTATCGAAGATTTGTTTTTCGCGATGGAAATTTATGCACCAGTTTGTTCCGCACCTGCATCTGCCAAACTTCAGGGCAAGCAAACTTAAAGACAACAAACTATCGCGTTTACTGTTCGTAGTCAGTATCACGCACCAGGGGCTCCTCGCGGAAGTCCGCATCCCTAACGCACTGCGTGGGTTGGGTAGCCGACGCGACGGACTGGAGCTGCCAAACTTAGTGCACCTTCTGTCTACAGTTGAGGGCGCACATTACCTCGTGACTTGGCATTAGGCGACTTGTGGCGGGCGCGCTCAAATCTGGCACCATTCTATTTCCTGCGTGTGTGCCCCACAATCGGACATCTCGGCGTAGCTTCTCATGGCTGTTCGCTGAGCCCCCAGAAGAGTCGGGTATCAACGGGCGCGATTTGTTGGGCTGCTGTCAGCATCGATACTGGTGGTTGCACGTTCAGACTGTCCCTCGCGCGTTGGATGGAACGGTGGCGACGACGGAACGAGCCAGGGGGCCAAATCTAGTCCACTCACTGATTTCCACGGCTACTAGGACAACAGCCAAATTGTTGGTGGTTACGATCGTGGGAATCTTCTTTATTCTCCAACCAACGCTCGAGCGCATTGCAGGGTTTGCTCCTAGTTATCCACTGACAGCCTCAGAACAATACTATGGAGCCGTCCGGCCAGTTGTGCCCAGCCACAAGTCACCGATGCCTCCCACAGCTAGGCGAATATCCGCTGCGTGAGTGCATCCATTCCAAGCCGTGAATGTAAACAAAAGTGGCGCCTGTACATAACTGAGCATTGAGGAGCTTATCACAAAATGTGTCCGCAGTTTGCTTTATACATCACCCGCGACAACAAGGACACGTTCTCTACTTGATCTGTGACCCACTTGAATACGACACAGGGGAGTCACATAGTCTTTTATTCATATACCACGCACGCACGTCATCAGTTGACTGGTATTATCATTGGTATCAGGGGCGGCGACCGTCCAAGGCCTCGCGACCGCGAGCCCCGGAGACGGACCGGCAACAGGAGCACGGGCCCGGCGGCGCGCGCGCCACTACCAGCCAGCACTAGCACCGCGGGGACTCGCCCCGCCTGTACAGCTGGGCTCGCTCACAGCGGCATCTCAAACTTCACGTTCAGTTTGGCCGACTTGGCCAGCGTGACGATGGACGACAGCTTGACGGCCATGCGCGCCGCCTCGTCCAGGTTGTCGACGGCGATGATCCGGAGGCCGGAGGCGGCGATCAGAGCCTTGGCGTCCTCCACGTTGGTGCCCTGGAGCAGGCAGGCGGCTGGGTGACGTTCCCGCACAGCAGCGCCCGTCAGGCGGCGTGTCTACCCGACTAAACACCCGAGTCGTGTTCCGCTTATCAGCCATTGTCATTTCCAGCACTCGCGTTCAGGGCTGACTTACCGCACCTGAACGACCACGACTATCGACTCTGAGAACGCGACGGACTTCAAAGATGTTGGAGATATTCACCTACACAAATATTGGTGGGTTCACGAGAGCACTAATGCATCAAACCAGCCAAAATGCGGTTGGCCACTGAATAACAAAATTTGGTCGGATACTAAATCAGCGAATAAGATATTGCTTCGGATGCTAATTTAATGTACTGCAGCGTGCCGCACGTTGCCAACATACCGCAGAAGTCCAGCAAGTCATAGCAAAGCTATCCACAACCAAAAACTTGGTTAATGATTGTCAAAGCCTTAGTTAATGAAAATTTAGCTAAGCATGGGCATACTCAGTTCAGTTTCAGGCGCGACTGCTAAAACCTATGAAGTGTTGAACTCCAAAGCTACCGCCACAATCAGTCGCATCATTGCCAAACACACGCGTCTAGCCCTAACAACGGCAGAGGTTCTCAGCTTACAGGAGTCTGCATGTGTGGAGCCACACCCGGAAGCTGGCATACCACGGCGGATGGATGGAAACGCGACGCAATCACTGCACCGCGCAGTGTAAGCGGGAGCTACACCACGCTTCACAACCCGTCAATACATTCAACGGAATAGGGCGACGGTGCCGGTCCTATCAGGTCTCGGGCGCTGCGCACGCGGACTGTTCTTCGCAAAGGTCGCGAGCTGCTGCGGATGACTTTACGAAAACTGACGTCTGGTGGTGCACGACCAAGCCGCCAACACGGCACCAGCACTGGCGGAGACATCCGTCACCACTGGAGCACGCGGTGACCCTCTGACGGCCGTGAGCCGGGGGATGCGTGACAGTGCTCTGGTCTGCGTGCCACTGGACGCCAACACGGCACCAGCACTGGCGGAGACATCCGTCACCACTGGAGCACGCGGTGACACCCTCCGACGGCCGTGAGCCGGGGGACGCGTGACAGTGCTCCGATCTGCGTGCCACTGGACGCGAACACGCAGCGATCCTCCGCCAATCTCCACATCGTGTCATGGTAATGCCAGGGACTAGAGCCCCAGCGACTCTCCAACTGAACGTATCTGGATCTGCGGCACGTCCATAAGTGTCGTACGTGAGAGAGCATGCAGCGCGTCCAAAAGTGTCATACGTCAGGGACCATACAGCACGTCCATAAGTGTCATACGTCAGGGAGCATGCAGCGCGTCCATAAGTGTCATACGTCAGGGACCATACAGCGCGTCCATAAGTGTCATACGTCCGGGACCACGCAGCGCGTCCATAAGTGTCATACGTCAGGGAGCATGCAGCGCGTACATAAGTGTCACACGTCAGGGAGCATGCAGCGCGTCCATAAGTGTCATACGTCAGGGAGCATGCAGCGCGTCCATAAGCGTCATACGTCAGGGAGCATGCAGCGCGTCCATAAGTGTCATACGTCAGGGACCATACAGCGCGTCCATAAGTGTCATACGTCAGGGACCATACAGCGCGTCCATAAGTGTCATACGTCAGGGAGCATGCAGCGCGTCCATAAGTGTCATACGTCAGGGAGCATGCAGCGCGTCCATAAGTGTCATACGTCCGGGAGCATGCAGCGCGTCCATAAATGTCATACGTCAGAGAGCATGCAGCGCGTCCATAAGTGTCATACGTCAGAGAGCATGCAGCGCGTCCATAAGTGTCATACGTCCGGGAGCATGCAGCGCGTCCATAAGTGTCATACGTCAGGGAGCATGCAGCGCGTCCATAAGTGTCATACGTCAGGGAGCATGCCGCACGTCCGGATGGTCGTTGTAGAATTAATGAGCATTGCCATGATCGCCACTAGGTGGCAGGACAATTGCTCACTGCCGAACGTCTGTGTTGCGCAAGACGGACATCGACGTCCACGCGGTTGCCTCTTTTTAACGTAGGCCACATTCATCCTAGCCCGTGAACGGTGAGGGTTTGCCACGGCGTGCAGCGCACGCCCACCGCCCTCGTCCTGTGTCGCACAATCCGCGCGGCCGCGGCGTCGTACCTGCAGTCTGCAGACGATGGGCACCTTGAGCTGCAGCTCCTGGGCGGCGGCGATCACGCCCTCGGCGATCACGTCACACCTCATGATGCCGCCGAAGATGTTCACCATGATGGCGTTCACCTGGAGGCAGTAGAGATGGCGTTCTGTACAGCGCACGCGCCCCAGACACCCGGCCGCCGCTCGCCGCCCGACCGGCGGCGACATCGCCCCGAGCCCGGCCGCCTCCTGGCATCAGCCCCAGACGACAGGCCTTCGCACCACGCCTTGCGCGTCCGTCCATACCCTCCCTCCAACCGGACCACCTGGGCTCGCTGCTCCTGGGACTGCGAGTGGGACAGCAGCGGCGGATGCCGTTGGTGCGCCACGTCCTCACCTGGGGGTCGTCGGTGATGATCTTGAACGCCTCCTTGACCTGCTCAGCAGTGGCGCCTCCGCCCACGTCCAGGAAGTTGGCCGGCTCGCCGCCGTTCAGCTTGATGATGTCCATGGTGGCCATGGCCAGGCCGGCGCCGTTCACCAGGCAGCCGATGTTGCCTGCCGGCGGCGCGGCCACACAGGCGTCACGTCACCGAAGGAAGTCGCGCCACGCAATCCCCGGTCCAAGCCCAGTCGCGCCACACAATCCCCGGTCCAAGCCCAGTCGCGCCACGCAATCCCCGGTCCAAGCCCAGTCGCGCCACACAATCCCCGGTCCAAGCCCAGACACGCCACACAATCCCCGGTTCAAACACAGTCACGCCACACAATCCCCGGTCCGAGCCGAATCGCGCGACACAATCTCCGGACCGAGCCCAATCGCGCCGCACAATCCCCGGACCGAGCACAATCACGCGACACAGTCCCAGGTTACGCCATGCAATCCCCAGTCCAAGCCCAGTCACGCGAGCCAAGTGACCGGCCGGCCCCATACAGAGCCGCCCCCAAAAGCCGACGCGACGGCGGACAGCCCCTTCCCGCCCTTCGGCGGAGACGTTCCGTTGGAGGCCGGGTACAGTCTCGCACGCGAAGCCCCCCTCTCCCGGCCGAAGCCCGGCGCCCGCCAGAGGGACGGCCGTTCCGTGCCGCGTACCGTCCAGCGCGATGTAATTGAGGTTGTATTTGGCGGCCTCGACCTCGCGCGGGTCCTCCTGGCTCCAGTCGCGCTCGGCGAAGATCTCCGGCTGCCGGAACTCGGCGTTGTCGTCGAACCGCATCTTGGCGTCCAGGCAGAACACTGCAATATGGCCAGCACACTCGGGCACCGCTCGCGCCCGCAGTGTTGGTTGCGTCGGGCCGCGGGACGGCACGCTTTCGGTGGCAAAAAGCAAACGCAGGTTATTTCCGTTAGTACGATTATCTGATCCTTGTGCGATGTCTTACCTCAATTATAGCAGTGCAAGGTGGGAGGGCTCGACAACTGAGCCTGCAATAGCATCCGTTAGTGATCTAGTCCGACAAACTAAACCGCGTTGCATCGACACGAGCCTGTTGATGGGAGCAACAACTAAAACAGGTGCAAAAGGCGCGGTGCAAGCACGCAATGCATGCGGCTTCTGAGCATGAAACTTAACGTGCACTCATTTGAAACGTGTGAAAAGTCGCCCCGCCAAACCATCCGACGAAAGTAGAAAAACCGAGACCGCACAAAACACCGGCCCGGCGTCGCTGGACAGAATGTAGCAGGCCATCATGCGAGCTAAGGGATACGGGAGAGCGCTCCGACCCGAACGCCGGACTCCCCACGGAAGGTGGGCCAGGGAGCTCAACAGCACCAGACTGCCCACGGGAGCCGGGCCAGGGAGCTCAACAGCACCACACTGCCCACAGGAGCTGGGCCAGGGAGCTCAACAGCACCAGACTGCCCACGAGGGGTGGGCCAGAGAGCTCAACAGCACCAGACTGCCCACGGGAGCCGGGCCAGGGAGCTCAACAGCACCACACTGCCCACAGGAGCTGGGTCAGGGAGCTCAACAGCACCAGACTGCCCACGAGGGGTGGGCCAGGGGGCTCAACAGCACCAGACTGCCCACAGGAGCTGGGCCAAGGAGCTCAACAGCATCAGACTGCCCACGAGGGGTGGGCCAGGGGGCTCAACAGCACCAGACTGCCCACAGGAGCTGGGCCAGAGAGCTCAACAGCACCAGACTGCCCACGGGAGCTGGGCCAGGGAGCTCAACAGCACCAGACTGCCCACGGGAGGTGGGCCAGGGAGCTCAAGAGCGCCAGGCTACCCACGAGATGTGGGCCAAAGAGCTCAACAGTCAGACAGTGTAGAGACCAGACGGCGCGCCCCAGACGGCGGAGACAGCGCACTGGTGACACGGCCCGGGGTGGCGCGCTGGCCCGCCAGCGGAGCAGCACGCGGCCGAGGCGGGCGCAGCGCGAGCTACCGGCATGCTGGCACACTACGGGGGTCCGCCGCCGGCTGACGGCATGGACCACACACACACGGATCGTACTCACGCTTGCCGGGGTCACCGGGCTCTGGAAACAGTGACGAAGTGCCGCGCGTCAACCTCAGGCACCCAATCACATCAGCACTGGGTACTGCGTCATAACACAAGCTATTGTGGGAATGTTAACCCGCGGGGCGACAGTTGGAAACCTTTGACGCATCGGAATTATCAGACGGCAAGAGACGATGGGCGATGGTTGTGCGAGGCGCCAACCTTGTGTCGTTCCAACGATTTGTTCATACACGAAAACACGGCACACCGCCAATGGAGCTGGAGTCTCTTGATTTTATCATGCTTTTGGGGTCGGACATCCTGTTTGGCTCCCCACCATTGAACAGCAATCCGCTGAGCTCGGTGCCTTGTCGACACCTGGGCTGCTTTATCTCCCACGTTCTGCCCTATCAACGCATTGGAACCCGAAACATCTGATACATCTGGGCGGCTGCAATATCGGATCTAAACTCATCAGTTCATGATGTTAATGCCATGTTGTGGCACAGTCTGGCTGGTGGCGGCCGGGCTGGAATGTTCCCCTGAGCTCCCCTGGCTTATGTCGAACGACTAACATAGTTTGAACTTCTGGAATAAAAATACTGAATGTTACAGCGGCCACTAATCAATGTTGCTCAGGTGGTCAATGCTGCCAAACAACGTTTGCTGGGGTTTGCTGATTAAATGTCAGCAGAGGTGTTAGCAGAGGTGGCGTTAGCAGTTAGCAGAGGTGGCAGTTGACGGAGTCAAGAGGCCCCTAAAGGTCGGCAAATTTGTACTGAACCGCGCACCGGCATCATCAATGCGTGCAACATATTTTTTTTGCAAATTCAGCCAAACATGTATTAACTGGATGTATTCATAGAACCCAACATCCAACCCGCCATTGTGAAACCATCAAGAGCTCCAGATCTTCAGCAGAATTTGAAGACCAGGTTTAGCATGACCCAATGTTCGGCTGTTCGTTCTGCTCTGCCGTCACCTGACCTTAAGCGAGGACACGGCCGCTACCACTGTCTCCAAACCATCCCCGCCTGAGGCAATTAACGAGACTTAAACAACTCAAACCCACCCCGCCACGGGTGGACGAGTCGGACGAGACCGGCGCTCCATCCAGTTGAGCAGCGGCACCGACTAGAGCGAAATGAGATGAAGCACGGTGCAACCCGCTCAGTCGGTCGGCACTCACTGCTTCCGAAGGTGTCCTCGGCCAGCGGGTTGATCTCGATCATCGAGGCGTCCGTCCGGATGAAGAGGTTGAAGATCTTCTGCAGGATGGCGATTGTCTCCTCCTTGCGGCCGCTCAGGCCGATGGCGTCCACGATGCGACCGGCCTTCTCGTCAGTCAGCCCTGCGGAGGGCAGGCTGGCGTCACAGTCTCCGACCGGCCTTCTCGTCGGTCAGCCCTGCGGAGGGCGGCAGGCTGGAGTCACAGCCTTCGACAGGCCACGACCAGACAAAGTCGTTGGCCGTGTCGTGTCATACATCGGCACGAGTCGAGAACGGGGCATCATTGTCATCTGTAACCACGCAAATACTCGTACTTCCGCCCCATCCGCTCTGGCCATAATCACGGGGTGGTCTCGTTTCGACGCGGGCCGATCAATGGACCACCCACAGACGAGCGCAGGACCACCCGCAGACGAGCACAGGACCACCCACAGACGAGCACAGGACCACCCACAGACGTACGCAGGACCACCCACAGACGAGTGCAGGACCACCCACAGGTGAGCGCAGGACCACCCAAAGACGAGCGCAGGACCACCCACAGACGAGCGCAGGATCACCCAGACAAGCGCAGGGCCACCCACGAACGAGCGCAACACCACCCGCAGGCGAGCGCAGGACCACCCACAGACGAGCGTAACACCACCCGCAGGCGAACACAGGACCACCCACAGACGAGCACAGGACCACCCACAGACGAACGCAGGACCACCCACAGACGAGCGAAGGACCACCCACAGACAAGCGCAGGACCACCCACAGATGAGCGTAGGACCACCCACAGACGAGCGCAACACCACCCACATGCGAACACAGGACCAGCCAGAAGAGCGCAGGACCACCCACAGAGGAGCGTAGGACCACCCGCAGGCGAGCACAGGATCACCCACAGACGAGCGCAGGACCACCCACAGACGAACGCAGGACCACCCACAAACGAGCGCAGGACCACCCTCAGACGAGCGCAGGACCAACCACAGACGAACGCAGGACCACCCACAAATGAGCGCAAAGACGGGCAAGACACGTGCCTTCGAAGATGTCGACGGGTTCCTTGTGGATGGCGTCTGGGTCGACAGCAGCCACTTCCTCGATATTGACGCCGCCTTGGTTGGACGCGATGATGACCGGTCCCTGCGGCGGGGGCGACGGTCGAGCTCAGGCGCGTGCCGCCAGTGGCACGACACTCACCGCCAGGCCCGCGCAGGCGCGGCCTACACCCGCCTCGCCGTCTCCCATTCACCCCCTCCGCCTGCGCCTCATGTATCCGAGGCGCGACACAGTCAATAGAGTTCAGTGCCACAACTCAAGTCTGTACGATTTAACGGATGGATGTGCAGACCATAAACCAAGAAGGATTATCATCCGGAAAGAGGAGTACCTACTTTAGGATATTATCGTCAAAACAAGAAAAAAAACGCTACAATGAGCCCGTGGACACAGGAATCTCCATCAGTCGACGGTAAACAAAGCACCATAGTCACCAAACCATACAACAAGGAGTTTGTTTTGATAAAACTTTAACTATGTAAAAGCTACCTACGGATGCAAAAAAAGCAGCATTTCGCTCCCCGCACGCCGAGGACCATAACCTACAGGCTGTTCGCGAATCGGCCTGAACCCACCGAACTCGCCGCAAGGGTGGCGGCGGGGCTCTGCCGTCACTGACCGCTGATGAAGCGGTACTCATACTCAAGCAAGCACGCATTCTTGTCGAAATGGAGCGTCTTATCCCCTCATACGACATATAACAACGACAACTCAGTAACAAAGCTCACCGAGCAAGCACTTTCAACGCAGGTGGACAGCATAGAAGTAAATCTGCTTGAAAGTGTTTGGATAGCGATAAGCATGGAGTCCAATCGAATCATTACGACTTACGTGAGTGTAAATGTAGAAACAGCCATTTCGAAAGGTGTCATCTATCACGTCTCAATTATTAAGAGACGATCTGAGTATACTGGATATCCGGTCCGAATTGGAGGCGTCTAACATGATGACGCACGTTCACAACTTCATCTCCATCCAAAGAGTGGTGCTTAGCTTAGGTGCTGACCCCAGCAATCCATCCCCAAAAACAAGATTCGGGCAAAATGTAAAACAAACTTATCGCACTTCCTCCTCCGACCAAGCGCTGGCATCTTAACACGGAGCATTCCCTACAAGACGGCATCACACCACTGGGGCCCACCTGGAACGCCCGCTCCAGCATCACGGCCACGTAGAACTCCTTCCGGGGAAACTTGCGTTCGCAGACTAGCACTTTATTGCAAATCTGGCCCTTTTCGCCTGTTTGCTTCGTCACGAGCTTGTGTCCAACCATCTTAGAGGCAGCCTCTGCCGCCTCCTCCGGACTGAAACGGGCAGAACAACCACTGAACGCAACTACAGAACGAGTACTAAGCCCCAACAGCCTGCAATCAACAACGCACCAAAAAATGGGACCTAACATGCTGGATTCTGAGCTGGGATGCCCAGGGCGTGGTTTATCATACAATACTTATAGAGATGACCTTATCCAATCATGAAACGATTCAGTTCCCGAGCTTCAACGCACTACAGTGTACCGCATCATTTCACGCCCCGCCGCGCAAAAGAGAAGGGCGTCCCGTGACCCCGAATGACCATATTACCAGTGAGCGGCCCGGCCGCCGTCTGCTCCGGCTGCTCCGTGACTGGGTGTATCGCCATGCGCAGCATGACGCCACGGGACGGATCCTGTCTTTTAAAAAAGTATGACATCCCTCGTGCATTTCGATGCAATCAAGCAGAACCAACACGTCCAGCGTGTGCTTTGTGTTGTTTCAGTACGTTGCGCAAGTAGACGAAATTATACAAATATTTTCCCCCACTCGTCCGTTACCCAAATTATACAGACACCATCATAGTAACACGAAGTTATGCGGCGACCACAAACGACGGCATCTTCATCCTCCGCAAATGCCACCCGCTTTTGGCGAGAGCGGCACGCTATCCAACTGGCGCCCTGCCTTCCTGGCAAACCAGTTTTCAGAGACCATCTTTTAAACCCCACTACGCGCGCCGCCTTGGTTTCAAAGTGCGGCTAAAGGCGAGGTCTCAGCGCCGCCATATCTGTCAGGGCGGCGTTGTCCCGGCAGAACTAGTCGATTATAGTCTGGGACGGAAATAGACCGGGGGCCTCGGCGGCAGGCACCGGGCCAACAGGCCGGCTGGCTGCCGGCGCGCGCGGCACCCAGTACTGACGTGAAGACGAGCTTGACGCCGCCGCGGGCGCCGTTCTGCCAGACGCCCTTGCCGCGTCCGCCGGTGAGAACCTGCGCCTTGACCACGCTGTCGGTGGACGCCAGCTGAGCCGTCTTCTCGCCCGCCTCCTCCGCCGTGTGGCACACGTAGAAGTCCGGCACCGGCACGTTCGCGTTCCGCAGCAGCGAGAAGCTCACGTGCTCGTGCACGTTCAGGAGCCGACGCTGCTCCAGCTGTGCCTGTTGCCGGCTCGCCAGCACCTGCCGACGCGGAAACACGCTCAACAGAGCTGCCAGGCCGCCAGCATCGATCATCACAGCAGCACACTCGCAGCCAGCGGCCTCGCCAGCACCTGCCGACGCGGAGACACGCTCAACAGAGCTGCCTGGCCGCCAGCACCGATAATCACAGCAGCACATTCGCAGCCTGCCGGCTCGCCTGCACATACTGCAAAGGCACCAGTCTCAGGGTAACAGACTAGCCTTGGTATGCTGTGAACTCTGGCAGCCCTGGACACCATTGCTGGGTTCACCAATGCCCTGAATAAGAGGGTTCCTCTTAGTTGGGTACGTAATGGGAAGCGAAAATCCGGGTGGGGTATTTCTATTTGATGGTAGTCGGGATTGTAGTGCTCTGTGCGATTATGGCGGGCATGACACCCTACATTAGGATTAAAGAAGAAAATAGTATACATGGGTCCGTGGTCAAGTTGACGCCCCCACACATCAAAGAATAGACACACCTGCCCATTGGTGCATCGTGTATGCGTCCTTCCCTTTACTTAACGGGCGAAGAAGGTTTCATCAGCTGGGCCCCAAGCGAAACGCCGCGCTGTGATGAAAGTGTTAACATTTGGCTTGACGTTGTAACTGCAAGTGGATGAGCTACTATTGTTGCTCCGTAGGCCTGCCATGATGTTTCTCCGAGTCTTCACAAGCCGACGACAGTGATGACTCCAGCAGGCGCTGCGTCACGCGGGAGGCACGGACCTCCCGGCCACCCGCCACCGAGTCGGCGTGTCGTAACTGGCTACCAGTGCACTATTTCGCTGTTTCCGTTCGTTGGTTAGGACAATGTGCACCACAAATGATGAAAAATGGACGTATCGTAAAACAAGCGAATGAGCTACTGTCATGACCTTTTCCACATCAAGATTCCTGTCCCTAAGCAATCTGAGGTAACACTTCTCAGAGGCAGGATCATATGCAAGGTGTTCTGGATGCTTCAAGGAGCCTAAAGGCAAAATATCACCAGTGCCGAATTTGACGTTGACGTTTGACGTTGTTGCTTCACGAAATCATTTGGCATTGATGTTAACATAATTTGGCATTGATGTTAACGTAATTTTCACTGATATTTCTGAGCCACTTTAGCAGCACATGCCACATGATCTCCCAGAAGAGCTCTTGGCATGTATCGGCTCTTTGGGGAACCACAACCACCATGTTCCGGTCGCCGGCCACCCCGAGTCCAGGCGCCCGCTCTGACGCTGCTGCTGGCCACCCTCCCCAAAGGCTGCTACAGCATGGCCGGACTCAATATATACTTTTGTAATGTAACTTTTGATGGCCATTTTTACAGCCAAACCAGGTCATTGGCGTATGTTGGCCTTGTTTAAATCGTTTCTTGACCAGTTTTCGCACTGAACGCGATCCAGGATTATGTTCTTCATATTTGCCCGCCGCTCTGTTCTTTTCTGCTCATTCTGTGCGCTCAAACATCAACATTAACTGTAAGGTTACAGGTCGGTTTCAGGCGTCACACCGGATATTGTTAAATTATTGACACAACAGCCGTTTGCGTTGTAATTGGCGTTGTTAAATGACCCCCCCCCCCTTCCGTCAACAGATTTACTGCGTCCATTGGACGCCGGTCGTCCAAGCCAGCGCCAAGTCGACTCCCCCTCCCTCCTCTCCCCTCCGGTCCGGTCCGCCCGGTATGTCGAGTACCTACAGTCCTGCGATAAACGCCTCGCGGCTCGAGGGCCCAGGGCGGAGATATGGTAAGCTTGAGATTTTTTTAAATCGAAACAGAACGCAGCGGTTCAGCTTGGTTATGTTCGCAAATGACGGCGGTCATACATAAAGTGATGTCCGAGTTCAACAAAGAAGTACTCTTGACGAGGCTTGTCATTTTGCCTGTGTGTGGTTTGCCTTAACGTTTGTACACGCTCACAGCTCTATGTAGGAGGCGCAAGGACACTGACGCAGCCAGCCCCTGCTGGGCGTGGCGGATTTGGTCGGTGCTACGACGGCTAATGTCTAATATGGCACCACTCAAGTTGTGGGAGGTGTAGGTTTGGCTTGCCTTGGGAGTCACAGGCGACTGAGCAGCCCTGTCCTCTGTCCTCCTGCGGGGTTTATGTCCGCCCTCTAGGCGCAGACCGGTCGTGACCCAGGCTGGCTGAGGCTCATGAGCCGATCGATCCGCGGGCGAGGGCATGGGCCGGCCACGAACAGCTTCACATATTCCGTGAATTGTCAATGTCCTTTGGTGGATCAGCTGTGGGCTGTTTATCACGCTAATACCTGTTGCGCTGTAAACTGATTTACGAAGCGTTTGATTTTCGCAAAATACGCATTCTTGGGAGCCGTTGTGCTCGGACGAGCTCAATGAGCGATACGAGCGAGCAACGAGCGATATTTTGCCCCGGATACGGTGACGCAATAGAGTGAGTAACCTGAAAGCCCAGTTCATCCAAGGACAAGCAATACTGTTTTATAATTTGTTCATGTTTTTGCAAAAATTATAAGTGCGTGATGAACAAAGCCTGTCGTAGACAGACTGCACCGAGCACGCCATGCAGGACAATTTCCATTTGAACGGCCAAATTCTGGCAATGGCCTCAAATCTCTATAATCTAAATTCAATTAGATTTGAATTAAATTCAAATCCAAATTTAACCAATCTCTATTTTTGTGTTCTTTCATATTAATGTTAATGCCCATATCATGCAGCTCATAACCAGACACTGACAATGGAACCATAGTATGCTCTCAACCAGACAATCTGTCCTATCACTAGATAATGTTCTTTACCCAACGCTGGAACATCCCTTTGCATTAGCCAACGCGTATGGCATCGAAATTTCGCCTCAGTCCTTCTTGACCTGGGAAAACACTATTGACCGCATACCGACATATTTCACCAATTCACGAACAAACAGCTATTCCGAGGCCAAAACACTCCTGGAAACTGTGGAAGCAGTCCCCGGTTGCAGGTGTTGCCCTGGAAGCCTGGCGCGCACCCAGGGCGGGGTTTGGCGGTAGATCGCTTCGGTGGCAGATGGTGGGCTTCTGAAAGCATTCCGTGCGGGTTTTCACACGACTGGTTCGTCTCCCACGGTTGCATTCCGGCCGTGTGCACTTTTCCGAAACCCAGAGATAGTTTTATGTTCCGAAAACGTTTTACCTGGTCACTTCATTTGATTTCATTTGCTAGTGACCACCACGTTAAACAAAAAAGGCATTTCCAATCACTCTTCAAAAAAATTCCAAATACTTCAAACGAAATAAAGCCTTCCTGTGCAATTCGTACAATGGAAGGTACACATAACTGACTGTAAGTTTGTTGGTTTGCTTCGAGAAACCAGCTAGTGGAGGTCTTCTGGATACGGCTAAAGCATGTCAACTGTCTCATCGTGATCTCCTTTCTCAATGTCACACCCCATGTGTGATGGGGAGAAAGATTTTAATCTGTTATCCACGTCCAGGCGCACATCAGCATTTGGTACATACCTTATCCAAAGCTCTGCCGAAATTATTTTTCAGGGCTCCTGTGGCTGATGCATTTCTGTCCAAGATGCAACATCTTATCAAACATACAGAAATCGCAACAACCCCAGTTTTCGGAGCACTATTTTACCGGCTCCATGTGGCATCAGTACAAAACCTGGGTGCCATTTCTTGGATATGTACCAGCATTTCATGCATATGCAAGATCCCTTTAATATTGAAGTGCTCCACACGTGAAAATGTACTTCATATTGAAGCGTACCCATACATAGCTTGGGTCCACCAATGTTGTCAGTGGAGCTCTACAAGCCACTCAGAAACCAAAGCTATATGGATTTGCCATGTCTCTCACCCTGGCAATAAAAGTGGGCATCATGGGGAACTGAAACCTGTAGCTGTAGTCTTCAGATGGCAGTGAGGCCACCACAATAACAGCACCCATTGCATAATATATTTAATATGTGATGATTGATGCCTTTTTTGTTATGGCTGCTTTAATGAGTGTTTTTTCTCATTGGACATCTCATAAAAATAATGCCTGATGATGATTTAGGTTTAAGGAACTACTTCATTGGAAATAACTCACATATGGCTCATGGAATTAAATTAGCCCAAGGAACACTACTTGAGTATGAGTAATGCCTGTCATGTAGCAGCAATCAAATGTGTATGGGTGGCAGAACCAACTATCACAGGTACCTGCTGGCCCCTGCCTCAGTCTAACCCAGGTGGGTAGAGTAAGCCACCCAGAAATAATAACAGACACATTGGTATGTTGCTTTGCTTGGATGCTGACAATGGACCATGAGACAACAAACAGATGGTTGACTACATTTCATGGTGTGATTTGGCCAACTACCAGTCCTTATCTGGCCACTGAACCTGTGCAAACTACTTTCTTGGTCAGTGGTCTAGCTTCACATCACAACAGCACATGAAAGAAAACATCACTAGATTACAAGGTGCAACAAATAGGCACCATCAATTGGTTGTAGTATAGCTACTGCAGCCTTAATGGGTCCCAATGAAAGCTCTATTAGAGACCTACTGAATGTTGGACTAAAACTCCCTATACAAATCCTATAAGTGGGCACATTAGTTCAGTTACCTAGGAGAAGCACAAGTGGTCTGGAACCTGGGTGTGTCTGGCTACTCATGGCTGTGCATGTGCTAGTGAGCCAGTCCTGCAAAAAGATCAACTTGCTACACTTGACTCCAATGCAACATGTGTGCTGAACCTTGTGCTTGCATGTACTACATACAGGCCTCAGTGCATTGCACTAAATTTCCAATTGTTTTAGCATGAAAATGTCTTAGAAGAGTCTTTATTCTAAAAATTACCTTCACAGCATTTTAATAACCTGGAACATTGGCTTTCAATGCACTGAAGTTGGTGATGGATCTTGTGCCAAACTCTAGGTTCTTCAGATAAAAGGTCTACATTATCTGAAGTTCATGCTGCAAAGATGTTGCTGCTAAGCTAGACATGTTCCAGGCAACCCACATTTTTTTGCAGTCTGGTTGATGGGCATAGCACAGGATTTGATGCTGACAAGACCTCAATGATGTGTTTTTGAGGTCCATACACATCAGCAGCTTAAATTAATGCAGCAGGCAGTGAGAGTAACATGCATGAACATGCAAAATGCATGTTTATGGTGCAATTAACTGCCATTTTTTGGGGGGGAGGGGCAAAGCCTGAAATGATTTTAATTGCTACCCATCAGCATATGGAATGGCCATCAGGCCAAAGCATACTTGAATCCCTTCCCATTTGATTTTAATGCTTACTGATCAAGTCCTTCATTTCTGTTACATGTAATACACTGTACCAACTTGGGACATTTGCTCTGGTAAGTGCTAAAATGTATGTTTGCAAGAATGTGGAGGCAGGCTGGCTCCAACATACGACCATCCCCCATGACCTGTAAATCCATATTAAATTGTGGAGCACTTCAAATGATGGGTGGACATCAGTGTATTTCCTTGTATGTCATGCAACAAACCCGTAACAATGAGCACAAAGAGAAAATGCCCACACATCCTGAGGTCGCCAGTATCGCCGCGCGTGGACTGATGCCCATCAGGACCATCCAAACCACCAGACAATGAGCTGCAGGCGTGAAATATGTGTGTAGATAAACCTACGACACATACCTTCCGTCCTCCATGCTTCCAAAGCCTTTCAGCGCTCACCTGCTCCCCTCCTCAATGCGGACGACATGTCTCACGGCCGAGCTGGTCACGAGCACAGGCGCCGCGGATGGGTATGGTTGTTTTTTTCCCATGGCTCTTCCTGTTCGCCGAGGTCTCAGCAAATTTAGAGAGCTTTCTAAAATCGTAAGATGCCACCAAATACCCATAGATTTCTCTAGGCCAAAAGTCTCTAGCGACTTGGAAATAAGTAGGACGTAGTGTAAATAGACTCATGAGTACATGTGCTCAGAACAGCTTCTCTGCTTGAATGCACTACAAAGTGGATTTACATAGAATGCCGTTCTTGCCTGAAGCGACCCAGATCTGAGTTGATCTACACATAAACGTACTGTTGTGTAACAAATGTACGCCTTCCGCTTGCTTGTTGGCAGCAGGTGTATTGCGAACACAATCTTTTTTGTCTTTCCATGCCTTTTTTGGAAGGTTTTAACCCATTACACTTGCCAAGGCAGTAAAGTGGCTACGCTTACGTCGAATGTTCACAGAGCCGTGCGCTGAAACGTTTCGTGCATACACCATTGAGCAATTCTGTAATTTAGTGACGCGCATCTCGTGTATCTAAGGCAGTAGGCCGCGCACTCAAGGCAAAATAAGTCATGGCGCCAATTTGTGTCTGCGGTTATGCGCTGTCCGTGCTTTGAGCGTGGTTACTGCAATGGATAGGCTTATTAGTTAATGCGTGCTCGAGGCTTTCGTGCTGGATAAAACAGGTAATGGCCGTTATCATCATATACCTGTGACTGTGGCTTGGTATCTGTGGTTGCTTGTGTATAGGTGTGATTGTCGTTTTATGGGGCTGTTTCACCGACTAACAAGACGCGCTGGAAGGCTACGAAGCATGCTTGTAGACTGGCAAGTCTCGGCAGGATATTGTTAGGGCAGTGGTGCTGGGCTGACCATGAATCGTCGAGGGTGTTGACCCTAAATGTGATATTGACTTCATGATATTGGTGCTGTTGTCCTCATACTTCCTGAAATGACATGAATCAACTACATTTGGTATGCAAACCATGTGACATTGGTTTTGATGTACATATACATTTATGAGATCCTTTAGAACTTTTATTTGGTTGGGCAACAGGTGTGGAGCTAAGTGTCATTTATGGCCACTGCATGTAAATAATTAAAATAAGTGCAAGAAGTATGCAGTGTTTTGCACATCTTTAGGCACCAATATTGTACATATTGTGTACCAGACTAGGTTTATACAGACCAGTTTAGGGAGTACAAAGTCTACACTAACACTACCATAAAGAATACATATGAAAGGAAGAAATTCCAAATTTATTTTGCTGAATATTATGAAACAGCAAAAAATGTAGGCTAGGTCAGCTGGCTTAGTAGCTGGACTAACCTTCATCTTGTGTTTCCAGTGTTGTAATGGGTTAGTTTGTGGCAGTCAGATTGTGCACCTGTATGATTCTTGATTAGCTGCTGGCCTTGTGCCACGCTGTATTTGCTGGTGTTCATCTATTGTGGTACTTGTCAAAATTCCATCACTATTTCTGCCCCAAGCATTGATCACATAGCCTTTGTTTTTTCAATGCAAAGAGTGTAATTTTTCAGCATATCTGGTTTGGCAGCCTTGGGAACAGTGTTCATTTCTTAAAGGGATGGAACCTGTGTGATGTCTTGCTTTATGATTTCAATGTGGCAGAAAACAATATCTGTATTTTACCAAATGCATCCACAGAAATAATACAAAATGGCCAGCTTTTTTAAGGATTGCAAAGCTGCCATTTAATGTTATGCATCAATCATTGCCTTCTGCAAAACATGTGCTGAGCTCAAAATAGGCAGTCTGTTTAAGCAATTTTTGACACATTTCAAATACTCCACTGGAAACTTGTGATACTCTAATGCATAATGGCATCACAGCAGAACTTTTCAGGACATGCAGTCATATGGGGCTTGTCCGAGGTCAGTGACCTATGTTGTCACTAGCTGAGAGGCTAGTGGAACAAGTGTGACATGTGTGACCCCCTTCATATTGTGTTTGTAAAGCTGATAATGTTTTATTTCATGTACCAGCATGAAATTACCAGCCGGCATGCCTGCGCTCAGGCATGCTTTTTATAAGATTGCCAAGCATTGAGGGAAATACGTCTACATTTACAGCAGCCATGTGATCTTATCCTTCTGTGCTTGTTGGTTTAAAACACACCATTCTGAACCATGTACTGATCACATGGATCCAGCTAGAATTTCTTTTTTTATTTAGGTGGTTTATCATTTTCACACAAGTTGACTTTAGCTGACCTAGCTTATCATAAGATGGTATTTTGTGTTAAGAGTACTTCTGTTCTGCTGTTGCAACCAATGCAATAAACTTAATTTAAAGCACATTTTGAAAAAGTATCTTTTGTGTTGACTTCTGGCTGACTATTTTGAAAAGTGGCCTAACCTGATCTGACCCTCATCAAAGAATATAAATGGTTAGAACGGACTCTCCACAGTTTTAAGGCTTGCTTCTAAGCCCTCAATATTTGTATTGACGCGCTAACATAGATTTTTACTGCATCTGTCAGAAGGACTGTTTTCTACCTTTCATGACTTCTGGTGACCTTACATTTGACCTCAAGTCGTCAGACATTTGGTGTGCATCCTTCGTGATTTGACGAGACCTTCACAATGGCATGTTTGCTTTTCTGACATGGCATCTGGAAGTTGGGGACCCCAGGAGGAAGTCAACTTCCCCCTGGCTGGTCGCGGTTGTCTCAGACCCCTGGCCGAGCGCAGGTTAAGTGGGCTGACTGACATAATATTCCATGCAGTGACCCTGCAGTCATGTGTGTCTGCGTTGGTCACGCATGACCTCTGTTACTCCCATCTGAAGTGGCCCAGACATTCAGTGATCATACACGTTTGCCTTGTTTATTCCAGTTTAGTACACATGAGCACGTGCTTAAATGGCCAGCATGGAGGAAGCCACCAACGTGCGCATGTCGGCCAGGGAAAAGTTTTACTCCTGCAACACGCTGGTGTGCCTGCTGCAGGGCCTTAAGGGCTACAGAACTACCGTGGAGCTGCGGAACGAGGCCGAGGTGTTCGGCACGATCGCCAGCGTGGATGGGTGAGCTGTCATCTGCCAGTCAGCGGTTTTGTTGACAGCTATGGTCTGCTGAGCCCGGTGCGCGTCATGGTCAGGTAATGCTACGCCAGTGCTAGATAACGCGGTCGTGTTTTTTGACGGAAAATTGATGGCATTACAGCTGGATTACGTTAAATAATCGCCAGGGCTGTTTGGGAGGACAGAGTAGAGAGGTGTTGAAAATTTTGCGGGCTTGGCGATATCATTAAGAGCTGCAACGTACAGCTAGCTACAAGTATGTAAGGTAGAGGTTTCAGCCATGTTGCGTACACTGCTATCGAATAACGCGGATATTTGTCGTCTGGATAGGCTCTGCCGCACTCATCTTAGCTCCTTTACAGAAACAAGGTGCACTGACAATTGTATTAATGCAAGGTTTTATTATTGTATTATTTGTGTTCTGTTTCTGTCTTTCCCTGACAGCTATCGAGGAAAATTTTTTCTTTGACGAATATTGGATGCTTAGCGTTACGGGGCACAATGCACGGCGGATATAGGGCAGACTTGTCTGTGACGGTATTTAATGTGCAGCACCTTTTGAATAAGCAGAACCATCTAACGACGCGTTTGATCCGAGAGTGAGAGTTGTGATTGAAAGATGCAGGATTGAAGTACTTTTTCCCAACCAGGTGGGATATGAAGCTGTTGTCCGCTTGCCTATACAAGTTCGAGTAAAAAAGAAAATTTTCGCATGCTGGCATTAGTGTCTCATATCAAAATTTACGTTGCCTAGTTTTCTTTATGTTTTATGACGTGACGTGCGTAATGTTATGCAGTGAGAGCTCAGACGAAACAAGACCCGATTTGAAGACTGTGGTTGGGGTACGGATGAGGACCGATGGGGTATCGTAGGTGGACGTTAGTAAAGCATTGACATGAGATAGTTTGCTGGACGATCGAAATTAATAAGACGTGTGTGCGTTTAGTACTTCCTGCTCAGTTTGGATCATGATTGTATGGCTTGTGCACGGGCGCTTCGAGGGTCCACGGCTTCTGGCGTGAAATGCAGGGGATTAATTTGATAAAGGTCAACTTTCTGGACAAAGCCCTAAAACTCTAACACTGTATGGACCCTTATCAACAACGCCAGGAACCCATGACCTGCAGAGCGCATGTCCAGCTCCCCACCTCCTCAGCGTGCTGATGCGTCCGCCCGTGCTGTGCGCGTGACTGCAGGTTCATGAACGTGACTGTGGAGGGAGCGACCTTCACCGACCCGTCTGGCCAGCGGGCGCGCTTCGACGCGTTCTTCGTGCACGGCCGGCAGATCCGCTACGTTCAGATTCCAGATGAGGTGAGCACGCGGTCTGCTGCCCTTCGGCTGTGACGCGGCAATAGGCGGCATTGTTTGTACGTGGGGAATCCCTCGCGATTAAGCATGCGCACGGACAGACTTCGTTTTATGGGTTTGGGATTTGCAGTGCTTTTACTCAGCCCGTGCAGTAATTCACGTTGTCATATGGTTAGTCTGGCCGAAGCGTATGCTCCATGAGTCTTTTGCGCCTACAAAATGAAAGGTAACCAATTAACTTAATGAATAGCGGCGAACACCTGAATTCGTTCCCCATACAAGAAACACAACATACGGTGGGAGTGAAGTTCCGAGACGTATTGTTGGACAGCGCCACCTTTGTCACAAACGACGCTCCTGCCGCTGCTCTGAGCAGTCTCGCGGCGGCGGGAGGCGACTGGCCTAAGTCGTGACTCTAGCGTCGGTCGACAGGTGTCTCCGCTGTCGGTGATCCAGCAGCAGCTGAGCGTCCACCAGAGCGGCGGTCGTGGTGGCCGCCGGGAGGAGGCAGACCAAGTGCGCCGCTCGCGCAAGACCAAGAAGGCCGAGGCGTACACGCGGGAGACGGTGCAAGCCATGAACCGGCCGGCACCCTCGTAACGCGGCTGGAGGGAAGGGGAGGGGACCTGACTGGTCTGCTGAGGGTTAGGAAGCCACAGCTGCTACCTCTGCTGCCCTCAAGGATAGCGTTTTTACCCTGCTAAGGCGCCAGGCATCGTTGGTCGCGCTGTTTGTGGTGTGGCCAAGGAAGGATGGCCGCCCAAGCCCGATTTGTACGCTCATGTCTGCCCGTATGTGATCGGGGGAAATGCCGTTACCGAACTTATCTGCTGAGGCTAGGTGGCACCACCTGATTGTGATTTGCTCAAATGTCTTTGTTCAGGTAACCGGCTGGCTTACCTGGGTTGGGTGTCTCCATCAGCCGAGGTCGTACTGATGCCACTTGCTGTCGGTCGCCGATGATTGTTAGCTCGATCTGCACACGACATGATTTGAGCTTTGAATGCGCCTAGTCATTTTGGAAGATCCGTTGTGTTAAGACATTGTTTCTGAAGTGTTTCATGCATTCTGGTATGTTTTAATGGTAGGTGATCTCGATTTGCGGCACATTTGCGTTGGTGGCGCTGCACCGTCCAGTGTTGACATTGGATGCGTGGATCAAGTGGGATCATCATCATGCATGAAGGAGCACAACATCGCTCTTCGTCACCCCGATCCGTCGGAACCGTAAAACAATAGCTCCGCATCAACATGTTTGTTCTCCACGCTTAGACGCGGTGCGATGCTCGCAACCACTCAGCGGAAAACAGTGAAAGCTCGGGTACATAATGTAAACTGACGCGCCAAGGAAACTCGGCTGCGCCCCGGATAACCCCGTTCTCGCCGTGTTTCCGTGCGGGCGTGTGAACAGGCGGGACTGTAACCGATATACACGGTTGTATGAGGTAGTTTGGCGTGGCAACGACTTAATGGCGCACGTGCATTTCGTTTGAAATCCGGAGAGTCGGGTGCCTGCCTCGTGCATAAAATGGAGTGATCCCTCTGAAATGTTGCTGCTCTAGGTGCTGTGCATTGCATGGCAGTAAGACGGACGAGCCGCCCAAGTTAAGAATAGCAATAAAAACCAGCTGACATGCTTACGTTGACGTTAGTCACTGTGGCGACTTTGGCTCCCGGTGGCAAATTAATCAAAGAATACGAATTCGTGCGCATCCTCATCTGGCTTATCTCCAAATCGTCCAGAAGCTTGTCACATGATGAGCCCAAGCCTTAATCCGACTCAGACAGCGACCCTCCCGCCGTCTGGGTCGTGTGGCGTGTTACACGTGTAGGTCCGGACGCCAAAGTCGCAAAGGTCTGGCCATTTGGGTGTGTGTGTCTGAGGGTGGGTGAGGGAGGGGACGTTCCGTAAGAACATCTCAGGATGCAATGTGTTCGGGCTTGCCCCGCGGGATGCTTGCGGAAGCTGAGCCAGCCCTTATGACTTTTCAAACGGCTGAAACAACTGATAGTGCCCTTCAGAATCTGTGAGCTTTAACAGGGTCGCGTGACTTGTCCCTTTCGCGTATGAGTTCAAAGTGTTTTTATGATAGGTCAATTGGTAACGCACCAAGCATCGAACATCTGTGAACCTCAGCCTGACACTTCATACATATATATATATATATATATATATATATATATATATATATATATATATATATATATATATATGTCAGCAATCCTAGCTATTGGTAAACTAGGAAGTAAGTACCAAAACGCTTCACTTTTAATTCTATATAAGTTGTGTGCCAAAGAGTATCCTGTGCGTACCTTATGTTTTTATCTTACTTCTTTCTTCTCCTTCTTATGCTACTTCTTATCTAGCTTCTTCATATGCTAAGCCAGTCGGAAAATACCAGGTTTCTTTGAGATGATAACGTCTGAAGTGGGATAAATAACAATAGCAATATGCAGTATGCGGCGGCCTTTGCAAGTACGGGGTGGCCCAGATAAAATGACTGGGCGGGTTTGCAACACAATCAGCGACTGCGTTGATCATCAGTGACCGCTTGCTAAGATTTACTAGGATGCTGTTCTGTGAATTACACCCCATTCTAAGCTTTTCATAAAAGGCAGCTCACATTTGAAATGGGAGGCCATTCTTCCGCAGGAAAACATTTTTAGATTAGCACAATGTTTGGACCAGTTTTTGTATCTTTACATCGAGGATGCAAATTCAAGCGGTCGGAAGTGGGGAGAAATTAGGTTTTTGAGGGGTGGATCATGCCAGCTTTTTCGGCTGAGCTATCGCAATCGATTTTAAAAAGTGGTACCCCTATCCGGAGAGCGTACGTCGTAAACATTGAGCCTCCCCGGGCCAGGGTTGGATCCAGGATCTCGCCAAGGGAGCAGCCACGCTTCATTTTGATGCTGCGCCGCGTCACAAAAAGTCTCCATTTCGGCCACTTAATTTTTTGAGGTCCTTGTTTTTTGATCGGTAAGCTATCTTTCGCCGGATTGGTCCGCTGACTTAAGCGTGCTTTATTTCTAGAAGTCATCGTTATTTTATTCGTTGTTTTAAACTTCATTGACTGAGATGGAAGCCCGAAGCAAATAAAATACAATCAAACAGAAATTGAACAGCTACATCAAAGGAACAGCGGGCGCTTTTCACCTTTGCCGAGCAACAACGGTCAGGGGCGTTGCCGATAATTCTCAGATGTTGAGGAGCCTGCGAATTGAACGCCAGCGGTGGACCAAAGCTGGGACCAAAATTTATATAGATCCGTACAACCCTTGCTTGCACAGGGAAGTTCATCCTTTCTGTAGAAGCCATCAGAGAAAAATGCATGACATCCATATTTGTGCTCATGTGCGTCCGCCATCAAGGAGAAAGATGACCGATGCTGGGCGTTGCGGTTTCCATGGGCCGCGCGGCGTCGTCCTCGCAGCAACACCCTGTGGCAGGCAACAGGCGGGCGAAAATGGCTCTGCATCGTTTAGCGGTACTTTCAAACGCTTTATAAAACTAACTGGTGTACGTTTAAAAACGATCTCGGGCCGTAGGGCTCATCTGTGTGATTTTCCGATTGATGCTTGGGGCGTATTACCACATCCAGTACCACGAACTCCTGACGCAATGGCGTGATCTTTATTGCTCGTGCTACTGTAGCTGCTAATTCCGTTCAGGGAATCAGCCTTGAAGTTGCACAGGAAGGTGTTCCGGTAAGAGTTGAAGGGAATTCCGTCTCATCCCATGATCCCCGGTGACCGTCATTCTGGCTTTACGGGGCAGTGGCCCCTGGTCGTTGCGGAGACCTTCAGAGCGATAAAAATCGCTCCCCTCCCTGATGCGGCAGGCCCCTGACCGGGACATCTGGCAGCGGATCGACGCATTGTCCCTTACTGATGCAAACAGATTCCTTACCGGCGCAGGGAGTTCAATAATTGGTGCAGAGACACCAATCGTCCTATCAACCCTTAGTTGAAACGGGGCGAAGAAACCGTCGTTCAATGCTGAGGCCCTGACCGACATAGAGCCTTTCCACTGCCTTAATATGAATGCGAAACATATCATCGTCATTTATCTTTCATTGTTAAGAAGGCTCCAACGCGCACAAGAGCCCCTTTGGCCGTCAGGGTTCCATCCCTGCCCCTGCTTAGCAAAGTGCCCCTGGCCGACCTAGAGATCGTTGCCGACACAAATTCCCCGCTCGGTACTGCGGGCCCTGAAAAGCACGGGGTCCTTCATTGTCTCAGCGGTTCCGACCAATGCAGGAGATCTTCTGATTGGCGTTTGCAGGCCCCGGGCTTCTTCCTGCTTGGGAAGGCTCCCCTATTGCCCAGAGCGGCACGGAATCGACTATTCGGTACTGGTGGCATCATCCAGCTGACTCAAATAGAGGCACTCGCTATCCCAGGGAGCGTTTGACCGGTGGAAAAGGTACTTTGACATTTGATGGTCCGGCCTCCAGCCTGTGGTTCCTTTATATGACCTGCGCCCTACCTTTCGGACCCCCTCCCTCCATTGGGCTCTTGATCGTCGGCCCCAAGAAGCCCAAAGGACCCCTTGGGACCCCAAGGCCTAAAGGACTAAGGGCTACGTGCTTTGTGCTCAGCCCCCCCCCCCCCCCTCCCATTCTACGTGCGCGTCTTATGGTGGCGCCCTTACAATTCGGTCCGTCACGAAAATAGAGACTTTGTGGCCATTGATTGTGCCCGATCGAATTTGACGTCGCTTCAAACGAAGGTTTGGGCCCTCGGCGGTACCCTCTTGAAATTAAGTATAATTAATAATGTAGGCTGCAATGCTCCGAAATGAAAGTATTTGATGTCCTTCACCGAACTGGGCGATCCAGAATTCGTTAGAGTGAAAGGCGCATGGATTGTGGCGCCGCTGAATTAGTTTGGTCCTCTTTTTAAAATCATGGTGTCGAGGTGGGAAGCACAACATACTTATGCCCCTGTAATTCGGTGTCCCTGAAGAATGGTTGTTCGGGCCCGTTACGATAACCTCTTGAACTAGGAGCTCTTGAAAATAGAGGTCATAATGCCGGAAATGAAGCGTTTGGTGCTTTCTTGCCGAATAAGCCGATCCAAGGTTTCGTCAAGGGATACGGCACGAATATTGCAGTGCCCATGGCATTGATGACTCAAAAATAAATATCTTAGGCCGCTGTGGTGCCACAGAAGTTGATGCCTCATGAAAACACAGGAAATGAGATTCCGAAATAACTGAGCGCAAAATGACCATTGCAGTTGACACGCCCGAAAACACCAATAAAGAATAATTTCGAAATAAAGGTTTTGGTTCCCCCGTCACCATGAAACCGCGGTGTCTCTTCGGGGCACCAAAACCCCGTGGTGCCCAAGGAGTAGAGCGCATGGCCACATATCCCTTATACACCCTTATATACCCTTACATACCCTTAACCCCTTGGATCCACCGTTGCTTTGTGATGCCCCTGGCATTGTGTGCCTCTGGAAAATAATGGTTATGATGCCCGGAAATGAAGGTTTTAGAGCCCATTCGTGGAATGGGCCGGTCCAGAGTTTCATTACGGTGAAAGGCACAGGAATTGGGGTGCCCTGGATTTTGGTTCCTGACTAGAGTGAGCATTTCCCTCCCAATAGATCGCCCACTTGCATCAATTGTCTCTTTAACACAAAGGTCATGGTAAGCCGAAGTCTAGGTTTTGTTGCTCCGGGCCCAAGGGACCAATCCAGCAATTTGTCAGGGTTGGAGGTACATCATTGCTGTGCCCCTGCAATCTGATGCCCATGAAAAATGAAGGTTTGGGGCCATTGTGGCGCCCCTGAACTCTGGTAACTCTAAAAAAGACAAGGCTTTGGGGCCATTTGTGGTGCCCTGAAATTTGTTGCCGGTTGCAAATAAGGGTTATGTGAATCCGGAAGGAGAATTTTAATGTCCCTTCACCATGGTATTTTGGTGTCTTTTCATCCAAAGGGAGAGGGCATCACCCAATGCCCCTCCCCCTCTGGATCCGTCACTGCCCCAAGCTGAAGGGGTCTACTGATGTGTTACGGTCTTCACTATGCATGTTTTGCGGTGTGATAGCTACGCATGTGTTATTTCCAAGGAGCGCCGACGATGGCCAAGTAACTGGTGTTTCCTGGTATATTCCTGGTATATTAATTTATTTGTTACACCTCCTCCCTGTCATAACATGACGTCATCGGTCCGGGCCGGGCATCCCGACCATATCACTGTGACCGACCATGTGCACTTAGCCTGCTCAAACTTCAGGGAAGACAAAGCCATTTGTCTGCCCACCCTATCTGACCGGCAGCATGGGCGATTGCCAGTCTCGCTCACTTGGTGATTCTGTCCCAGAGCAGTTTCTGTCCTCACGTCAGGCGTTCGTTTGTGTGTACTGGGACCCTGTCGACGCAATGTCCTGCATTCCGCCAGCTGTCGACCTGGCTCGGAGGGGCCCTGGTGGTATCCCAGCCGCTGGGGCACCCACCATAGCGGTCCATTCCGGCTGGAGCTGGAGCCATTTCGACCCGCTACTGGTACCCTGTTGCCCTTTGCATCCGACGAACTTCCATGCGTTCATCCCGAAGCTAATGCCGCGTTCCGTTCGTCGGTGTGCGTTGTGAGCGTGCCCCGGCCAGGACATGGTGTAAAAATCCCCTTGCTGAGGTGGAGCGATCGCTGATCCCAATCTCGGATCCCCCGCGGGTATGCAGGGCCGCGGATGCGAATCGTCTGGATCCTGGCTGATGTGTCGCCTGACCCGAGCGCCGAACACGTGCTGTAAACAACATGAATACTGCAGTGGAACTGATCCTTCACAGAACTACCGCCGATGCGGTCGTGCCCATGATGTGGGGACCGTGGCGTCAGCCCTGCAAGTCATGCAGGCTGACGCTGATGCAAACCACCGTCGAATCAGACATGCTAGCCAGACACGGATGTCGAGGGTTGGGTCGTTACAGCCGTGGCCACAGATTTTTCCCCGGTCTTGCCGACGATGTGTGATCACGGAATGCCCGCAGGGGGTTCAGCACGTGCGACTGCATTGGACACGAGAAAAAGTGGTGTTATTTCGTGGAGGTATATTGAACAGGATCGACAAGCAAGACGGAGATGTTATTGTTTTAATCATCAAACGATATACAAGAATACTACAGATTCCCACTTGTGGGGAAAATGCATATACAGGCACGTCATCAATTATATCACTCACACAGTATAAGTTAGCACGTACATGACATTCATTTAGCCATTGACGCCCTACAGCGCATGAACGGGGCTTAGCGTCGTGCACACAACTCACGAGCATGATAATGGGAAGATTCGGAACATCAAATACTTATTTCTTGCCATGGCCTTTGGCCAACCAATAGCCTTTGGCCAACGCGCAAACGAACGCGTTGCTGGAAGCTCCCTGTTTGTTGCATTGCTTCTTGCGGCGCGTTCCAAGCTGCTGGGATTTGCTTGAATATAATGGGACTATACGACGGTTTTAGAACACAGCTCCATCGATGTGTGTCTAGCCTTAAACACATCACAACCATGTATGGTGCTGTGGTGCGAGGCTTCAGCTCCGCACCGCGCCTACAGTCTGGCCGTACTGAGATGTCCCGTGGTGCGAGGCTTCAGCTCCGCACCGCGCCTACAGTCCGGCCGTACCGGGATGTCCCGTGGTGCGAGGCTTCAGCTCCGTACCGCGCCCGCAGTCCGAGCCGTGCTGAGATATCCCGTGGTGCTAGGCTTCAGCTCCGCACCGCGCCTACAGTCTGGCCGTACTGAGATGTCCCGTGGTGCGAGGCTTCAGCTCCGCACCGCGCCTACAGTCCGGCCGTACCGGGATGTCCCGTGGTGCGAGGCTTCAGCTCCGTACCGCGCCCGCAGTCCGAGCCGTGCTGAGATATCCCGTGGTGCTAGGCTTCAGCTCCGCACCGCGCCTACAGTCTGGCCGTACTGAGATGTCCCGTGGTGCGAGGCTTCAGCTCCGCACCGCGCCTACAGTCCGGGCCGTACTGAGACGTCCCGGGCGGGCTGTTTCCGACGGCGGTGTAGCGGCGTTATGTGTGGGATCTACAGAGATGTACCTAGTCTTTAGCCTCCTAGGTCTGCGCGCGTGGGATCCGCATACGTGGCGTGGTGCTTTTCGTGGTGCCTAAGGGGCCGGCCATACATTACGTTACGCGCGGAGGGGAGGGAGGTTCATGGAGCGCAACCGAAGCGTATCAAGGGGAAGGAGTGGGATGGGTATCGAAACTTTACTCTCTCGTATGTGGCTTCAAGGCATGCTTATTTTGTATGCTGTTTATACCTGAAAACCGGATACCGTTTTATTCCTCGGATGAAAAGCAACACAGCCGTCATTGTCTCGTTATCTAGCAGGGGCCAAACGGACGCTACCTTTCTGTGACGTTGTGGCTAACACAGCGCAACCAGGGGAGAGGGTATCCGCCCAGTGTATCCAGTACGCAACCGGGAGAGGGGGCTGAAAATGGCCAGAAGTGATCCCATAATGCGTAATTTATGAACAGACACTTGGGCTGCGCGTGCAGTTTGGCTGAGCGCTGTCTGTGGGGTCTGACAAGGACACAGTCGAGAAGGCCCTTACAAGTGTGCGCCCGGTCAGCGATCCAGCCTGACAGAGGCCCACCGGTGTTTTACACTGGTACTCGGATCGCCTCTGACATCGTTGTACTGGGATTACGGTGGGGTCCGAGACGAGCCACGCCGGCCGACCCCAGCGGCGCCTTTGGCCCGCCTCCTTCACCCCTCCGGGTCGCGGGCATTCCGCGGACTCCCGACTACCCGAGACCCCCCCTTCCCCCCTGTGCTACCGTGAAAGACTGCCGCTGGCCGAGCCTCCCCTACCGCGCCGGCAGCGGCTCATCCTCGTCCGACACGGTGATCTGCGGACTCGGAAGCGGCGGCCGCTCCTGGAGGCCCGCCTCAGGCGCAGGCGGGGTCCCGCCGCCCGCCGCGTCGTCGGCAGGATGTTCGGCGCTCGTCGCCTCCCAGAAGTCTATCGTCGGAGACGGCAGGCGTTCGGACGCGGCGGCGTCGGAGGCGGCGTTGGGCGGGGATTGCTGGCCTTCGGGGCGGTCCATCGACTCAGCGGCGGTTGAGCTGGCATCTTTTGAAACGTCCCCAAAGGAGAAGACAGGTTCTCGCTTTGTCGTCTCGGCATCGGGATCGGGATTTGTCGTCTCGGCATCGGGATTTGTCGTACCAGCGTCGTCTTCTGATTTACATTTCTCGGCTCCTTCGTCTTCGATGATGTCCCAAAAGGAGACAGCGTTTTCTTCCTTCGGCAGCTCAGCGTCGGATTTTAAACTCACTTCGTTCTTCACCAGAGTGTTATCCACTAATGCATCTTCCTTGGTATTATCCCAAAATGAGACAGCGCTCTCCTCTGCAGGCTGTCCATCTGCAGATCCCGTGATATCAGAGTTATCACGGCGGTGATCCCCACTTGAGATGTCATCGGCGTCCCCTGAAACGTCCCAGAAGGACAAGACGGGCTCTTCCTTTTCCGTATCGGCTTCGGGATCATTCCTTCCAGCGTCGTGCTTCGTTTTATCTTTCTCTGCGCCCTGCTCTTCGTCGATGTCACAAGAGGACATACCGCATCCTTTGTTGAGTGATTCAGTGTCGGATTTTACACCTGCTGAGTCTTCTACCAGGGCGTTGTCTATTACTGCATCGTCCTCGGTATTATCCCAAAATGAGATAGCGTTCTCTTCTGAAGGCTGTCCATCTGCAACTCTGGTGACACCATTATCTTCACACAGGTGATCACCGCTTGACATGTTACCGAGCACAGGCACCTGTGTCTCGCCTCCTGGGGAGCTGCTGCGCGACCTCCGGCTGCCATCAGAGCTATTCAGAAGATCCCTCACATGCGCTGTCTCTTCTGCCGTAGACACATCCCAGAAAGAGAAACCGGCTGCTTCTGATGCGGCAGCATTGGTCTTTTGGGAGCTAACCGCAGACTCCGTCTTTGCTTCTGTGCTTGCTTCTAGTCCCTGTTCTTTTGGGGGAATGGTGGCAGGTTCCGTTCCTGGTTCTGCAGAAGCATGCCAGGGGGAGGCACCCCTTCCCTCAGCTGCCTGCTGCTCTTGGGTGCTCGCCTCATCGGCAGTACCGCCCACGCAATCACAATCTGCTGTGGTATTTTCAGGCGGTATTGGTTGATCCTTTCCTAAAGAGTTGTTGCGTGAATTGTTGTCCGTCTCTGTGTGGGCCCAGAAGTCAAGCACAGGCTCATCCTCCCTTGCTGCCCGCGAAGCATTTTCTAGTTCTGCTGTCGTCTCAGGAATTGGATAATCTACGGGGGTCCCTTCTTGTTTGTCCTTATCTCTGACCTCAGAACCTTCGGCATCGCTAATTTCTGTGATTTCCTTGCATTCAATGCCAGCTTCCGCTTGTGTGAGCCCCTCGGATGGCTCTTCTTCTCCAGCGAATTCACCCTCAGGTGTTGTCACATGTATAAGCACCACGGCTCTTTCGCATCCAGCCTCTTCATTCGTTTCTGCGGGAGCTTTTTGTGGGTCATTCTTTGTTACTCCGGAAGAAGGACCTCTGTCAAACCCTGCTCTTCCCTCCAGCCTAGAAACAGCACCTTGATGTCCGAGGACGTTTTCTGTCGCAAGAGCTGCGTCAGGCCAGTTATTGTTCTTCCCATGAACCAGGTGCTCAACCACGGTTGGTCCATTTGCCACCGCGGCCTGCTCAGAGCACGCCACCGCACCGACATCCTCGACACCTCCCACCGCTCCCTCCACCTCCTCGCCGCCTTCCGCGCCTCCCGCCGCTCCCTCCACCTGCTCCCCGTCCTCCGCGCGCGCCGCCGACCCGCGGGCCGCCGCCTCAGCCGCGTCGTCGTCGATCGTGCTGAGGTTCTCGGCGCTGCAGGCGCGCCGGCCGTGCTGCGCCTGGCCAGGCACCTGCAGCGTCCAGCGCGGCTCGCACGCCGCCTCAGCGGCGCCGCCCTCGGCCGCGCGCGTCCAGCTCGTGTCCAGCTCCATGGATCGGCTCTTCTGGTGCGCCGGGTGCGGTGGCTCCAGCAGCTCGAGCGAGCGAGCGCGTGGCTGCCGCATCTTCTGCTGGCGCTCCAGCTCCTCCAGCAGCTCGGGGCAAACGTCGCCGCAGCCGGCGCGCGCCGGCATGCCGTACTTATAGCGGATGGTGTTGAGCGGGAGCAGCAGCTCGATCATCTTGTCGTCGTCACGCCGCTGCGGGCAGACGTAACGCTGACGTCAGATATTGGGCAGCGGTCAGGCCAGCGGTGTGCAGGGAGCGGGTGAAAATAGAGTTGCAGGAGACGTGCCACTTTGTGTGTTTTTGGAGGTCAGTCACCCATCCCCTCGACGATGTTATTTATACATTAGGCGCGTGTTAACGGTCTTTGATGACGTGTGTAACGCAGGTCAAGAACAGCTTTGTTGAGGACGAACATCACGAGTCGAAAAACTTGTAAAGGCCGGAATGTCCTGGGATGATTTTATATCTTCTCTGTGCCAGTACCCTAAGATGAACGCGGGATATGTCGTCGATATAAGATTATCGAATAATATAATAACAAAATGGTGAGCGAAATAGCGCACGTCAGGCTAAATATTCCGCTAGACACCGACCAGATGCCTCTAAATTATCGGTAACGACCGCTAGATAGTTGGTATGTCTCGTTCGCACCCGTGGCTGCCAACTTCTGCTGTATCTAATCGGCAGGGGTCCAAATGCCTCTGTTGCTGTAATCGTCACAGGTTCTAACTCGCCTGTAGCTGTTATTGGCAGAGACCCCAACGCCTTGGCTGCTGCAGTCGGCTGGCTCCCATTGATTGCCACCGTTGTTGTATTCGTCAGAAGTTGTTTCTGGCGTCGATTCAGCTCCTGAGTCTCTTTTATAACAGATGACAAAGCTCTAAACGCCTTTATTGCTGTTTACAAACTTATCTCCTAATATCTCCCAGCCTTTTGCGTTGCAATCGCATGAGCTCTCAATGTATCTGTTGCTGCAGGCGAAACAGTTCCCATCGTCCGCATTGCCGCAGTCAGTGGAGCTCTCCGTGGTTGCAGCTAGCGGCCGCCACCAGCCGCCTTGCTCTGCCGTGCTCTGCCGTGCTCTGCCGTGCTCGGGTGTACTCGGCCGCTAGCCAGCCGGGGCATGCCGGGCGGCCGCGCGGCGGCGGCGACACCCGTCAGCCGACAGGCGCGCACGCCCCCGAAATAGCCAGCCGTTCACGCACCCACCGTCGGCGGCGGCGCCGTCGGCCGCGGGACCCGGTGACCTCTTCTCGAGCGGGCTGACGCGTCGGCAGTTGACTTTGGAGGCCGGTCAGACTCTCGATAGGAGAGTGAGCAGGTGGGCTGGTGACCCGCGGTGGGTTGAGATCCAAAGGAAGCGCTGAGGACAGCCTACCACGGATGGTTGCCGGAGCTCAGAACAAAATCTCCGGCGACTCGAAAATTGTGAGGAAAGGCATGATTCTGGCATGCTATGCATGCAGAGCAGCCATCAGGCTGGGGATTTCCGCGAACTGCTGAACTGGCTGGGTGCCTGGAACTATTTTTAATCGTAGATATGCCAGGTGGATTTGGATGTTGAATGAAACCCCACCAGGCGAGAGGAAACAATTCACAAAATGTCAGTCCTGTTGATATGAAACGTTTCTGGAGCTCTAAAAATGCGACGAATGTTGAGAGTGACGTCATAGGTATGTGGAATGTCTTTGACAAGGCCGCCTCCATGGCGAGGACATATATAACAGAGACTGGTTTACATGGCTGAACGGAACAGCTTCAGGTATGTGTTCTGTGTTATACTCAAAATTATAGAGGTTTATCAGGTGGCATCGTGCACACGTGGCTGGATGAGGTCAGCTCCTTAAGGTTTGTGACTTTCAGCATATCTCATGCTTCCTTCAATATCTTCGAATATGGAACATTCCCTTCAAGGCCGACACTCTCGGAATGTAAATGTACTGAATGGCAGAAGATTGATGAACTAATTCACCGCTTAAATGCTAGTCTGCTGCCATATACCGATATTGTCACGTCATCTCGTTTATACTCTGTTTCCATTTGACTGAAACATGCCTCATCGTTGCGGGCGCCGAAGTCGCTGTCGTCATTCCCGAGTTGACACCGGAATTTGCTGACAGCGGTTCTCGAATATGACCAGTCAGCAAAAAGCAATCGCCACCGATTAGCCATGACACGTTGCCCATTAGCAAGGGCGGATCCAGAATTTGTTCAAGGGGATGGAGCATTGTCCCCCCTGCCGTTAGGAGCGCCTCCCCTAAAAAACTCGTCTTCCAACCATTGAATCTTAAGATTCTTATGCATGCCATTTTTAGACAGACGAACCTAGCAGAGCTTTGATCCCTGGCAGACGGCGAGACGTGAAGCTATAAAAAATTAGTAAGATTCAGGTCTGCGTCAACGGCGTGGGAGCCCCCTATAGCGTGGCAAACCCTGAGACCACCAGGGACGGCACCTGAGCGATCGAGGGTGCCACGACAGGCCAACAAAGGTGCTGACGTCAACAGTGTGGGGTCCTCAGAGCAGGCGAGATTTTAAGACCAATGTGGCGGAGCTCCTGAACGATCGGGAGTACTCGGCAGGCATAATATAGGGCCCGGCCAAAACGCAGGACCCTCTGAGCAAAGGGGAATGACCCAAGACCAGTGCACATGAATTAACGCCCCTGTGCGACCAGGAGTGGCCGGACAAGTTAACAGTAAGGGCCCTGACAAGAGTGAAGCGTCCGCCGCAAATGAGCTCAGAGGAAAATAGTCCTAGACCAATATAGAGAGCTCCTGAGGGACGCAGTGTACCCTGGCATGTGGGGCTCCAGCAATAGCCTACAAAGCCTTTCCGGCAAATGTGAAGGATCCGTGGAGGGTCCTTGATCGAAGGTGCCTACGCATATTAGCAAATAGAAGGACCGTAAGTACCCAAAAGTACCCAAGACCCAGTGCACAGCGTCCCCGAACAATTGTTGACCTGCCCGAGCAGGTTTTCGGTTGGAGCCCCCGAGAGCGAAGCGCCCTCCTCCATTCAAATCGGAAGTACCCAAGATTCAATGTGAACGAGCACCGAACGATGGAGTAAACCCGAGCGGGATTGGCGGATGGGGTCCCGTCAAAAGCGTAGGACCCACCAAAAGCCAATAGGATGTGCCTAGGACTGAGTGTGATGGCCCCCGTACGATCGAGACGCCCGAGGTGACGTAAACAGATGGGACCCCCGACAAGAGCGTAGGACCCTCCATTGTCATAAGAAGTACCCGAGACCCAATGGGGAAGGACCCCAAACGATCAAGTGTTTCCAGGCAGGTTAACGGATGGGACCCCCCGACAAGAGCGTGGAACCTTCCGTAAGTGACAAGGAATTGGAAATGCTCTAGACGAATGTTGAGGGCCCATTAGCATATCGTGAGTGCATCGGTAGGTTAACCGAAATCGACATGAAGGGTCCCTAAGCAACCTAGAATACTCCGACAGTTCAACATATGGGGCCCCAGCTATAGCGCATCTGTTGGCCCCTGCTTGGTCCCTTCGGGCGAGTGGCAAGAATCTGTGCAAGGCCCCTGATCGATTACAATGTCCCGGCATACCAGCAGAGAGGGTCTCAACGACACCGCAGCTCTCTCCGCGCAAATGTGAATAGATCAAGGGCAACGTGGGAGACTCATCAGCGATCGGATGTGCCCTGCAAGTAGACATATAGGGCCCCCAGAAGCAGCGAAGGGCCCCCAGGAGCAGCCAAGGGCCTCTGTACAGCGTAATGAGCCTTAAAATATCAACACCACGCTCTCAATTAATGAAAAAAAATATTTTGGTCTGCTCTTGAGCCCTACACTTTGCGTGCAACTGTTCTTGGTGGTTTAAAAGCCCAAAGACGTCCAATTTTGTTGCGTTTTTTTTGTAAAAAAAGAACTCCATTTGTTTGGCCGGTTATGATTCCTTTAGAGTCTGTTGGCCAATTCGCGGACCAATTCCCGTGCCCTCCTCCCGCTCTGCATCCGCCCCTGCCTTTAAGACAGCGTGAAATGTGACGCCAATCATCAGCTATGTGACCACTTTTTCACCGAATTTAACCAGACACAGCGCGGACGACTGAACGGATCCCAATGAAATGCGAACATGTGACGGATTCGATTCCCGGGACGATCACGAAATGAATTCAGGTCTGTTCGGTACCGGCGTCAACAGGGCGCGCAGCTCTCGATAAAAAGCACTTGAACATGTATGGAATCGAGGGCCGGCTACAACTCAACCCAAAACAAACATAACTCTTTGTTGAACTAGCTTCATCGATGCCCGAAGACCGACGTCAGAAGCCTGGGCCTGAACCTGATCTGAAGCTGCAGAACGTCGCGACGCTGCCACTTTGGCAACAGCACGCGGAGCGCGGACACGCGCGGACGCCTCGCGCGTGCTCGAGGTCACGAGGAGAGGCGTAGCGTGACCGGCCTGGCGTCGCCGCCGGCGCTCGCCGCTTACATAAACGGCGCCGGCCCACCGGAGCGGGCGGCGCCTGCCAACTCGACACAAAGCGGCCGCGCGCGCGCGCGCGCGCCGCACTGGACCGCTGACAGCCGGTGATGGGTTGGCCAGGGACTGCTCGGACCTGGCGACCGCCGCAGGGCTGCCCCCTCCCCCTCCCCTCCCCCCAGGCGCGTGCAAGACTGTGAAAAGCGATAGGTCTGTGCAGTGGTACGCTTTGCTCACACGGTGACTGGTTTATTTTGTTGCCCGCGTGCCCGCGTGCGCTTGTGTGTCATAAGACAAAAGGCACAAGGTGTAGTTTTGATCATCGCAAATTATTTTGGAGCAGGTTGTGCACAAGTTGTTGGAAACGCTCTCTCTCTCTCTCTCTCTCTCTCTCTCTCTCTCTCTCTCTCTCTCTCTCTCTCTCTCTCTCTCTCTCTCTCTCTCTCTCTCTCTCTCTCTCTCTCTCTCTCTCTCTCTCTCTCTCTCTCTCTCTCTCTCTCTCTCTCTCTCTCTCTCTCTCTCTCTCTCTCTCTCTCTCTCTCTCTCTCTTTCTCTCACCTGGAAAAGCATTTCTCCCTCGAAGTCAAGGATATTATGCTTTCGTCCCCGCATCAGAAGGCCGACACATTTGTCATTGATAGCACTGTAGAGCTGGAAAGGGTAAATCGTCAAACCATACAGCACATGCAACTTGATATACTCGATATATGGCGCGATCTGAGTAGCTCTTCTTCATACGAGGGATCCCGAGAACCAAGGGATCCCACCACAATGCTTCACTTCGAGATGTACTGTAACACTTGTTTTGAAAGTTTTCCTTTTCAGAGACATTACCTTGCAGGCATTTCGTAGGGGCATTCATACCCATACTTCAGGTGGATGGATGAGCAATTCAACCAAAAACTTAACGTGCTCGGTGCGCCTTCACATACGGTAATCCGAGTCTTGTCACGCGGGCTGGCATCTCCAGCGTTCGCGCGCATACGCACTCGGAAGACGTCGCCGAAACAGATGGCACCCCTGCCGTCCGGCGACTGGATGCCGCAGTCGAAGATGACATCACACATCTCCACCATGTCGGCGATCATCTGCACCTGGGCCTGCTTGCCGCGCTCAGCCGTCTTGCTACCCTCCAGCGGTCTGGAGAGATCGGTCAGGTCATGGTCATAGTCAGGTCAGAGTCAGACCCGCCGACGCGGCAGGTAACGGGGCGCGTCAGATATCAGGGCAAACAGAGCAGCGCCTGGCCGCCGCGTGTACGCTGAACATTTAGGGCTCGGGAACGAGTACAAGATGTCCTCGGTGACATGCGTGTGTGACTCCCTCGACAGTGACACTTCAGATGTCGCGCGGGTCCAGGTATACGTCAGCCCTCTAAACATTTGACGCTCCACAAAAGATAAAATAGAGCAAGTGCTTGCTTGTTGGACGTCCACCACGCGCCTCAGAATGAGCGCCACACTGCGAGTGGAGTGCGGAACTTCTGAGACATTGGAACACTTCAGGAGGTACCGGTGCTGCGGTCTGGGAAACCAGAGGTGTAGGGTTCGATTCACCGCGGTGGCCGCTCTTCCTGCAGGGGTGGCGACGCTGCAGAGGCTCAGCCGTCAAGTGCGTCGTAAAACCACAAGGCCCCTTCCCTCAAAACATTCAAACCGCAGCGCACGTAAATGATTTTGCTCACTGAAGTTTCAGAAACATTAGGAAGGGCGTCAGACCTGCCAGCCTTGTGGGCATTGAACACCGCACACATTTGAGAACGAGCACAGACTGCGTCAAATGGACCAGCACTCTGAGAACCTGAGAACATGGAAGCACCCGAAGCAAGCGGTCACTTTGACCACAAGTTAAGCCCCGTCCCAACATGCACCCACTGGCACGTTGGTCTGAGGTGCTGCAGCTCCGTCGTGCATGTAGCCTTTGCTCGGCCCCGCTCGCTGCATGACGGTTTTGGCGCGCTCTAAGTGACCGGGAAGTGGCCGGCTGCTCTGAGTGACCGGGGAGTGGTCGGCTGCTCTGAGCGACCTGGGAGTGGCCGGCTGCTCTGAGTGACCGGAGAGCGAACGGTGTGCCCCCGATACTGACCTTCCGTAGTTGGGGTCCTCCCTGGAGATCTTGCGCCTAGTGCCAGAGCCGTCCCACTCGCTGAACGGGTTGATCATTTGGTTCTCCTTGTGCTTCTTTGCCTTGGTGTCGAACATGGACATCTTGGCGCCGACGTCCGAAAAAAGCCGTATGTTGTGCGGCATGGCTGACGTGAGGCCGGGCTGGAGCCCCGCCTGCGGCCGGCCACAGGGCCCGGTCAGGGGTGGACGGGACTGCCGACTCCCGTCCACACGGCCAGGTCAGAGGTGGAGGGGACCGCCGACTCCTGTCCACACGGTCAGGTCAGAGGTGGAGGGGACCGCCGACTCCTGTCCACACGGCCCGGTCAGGGGTGGACGGGACTGCCGACTCCCGTCCACACGGCCCGGTCAGAGGTGGAGGGGACCGCCGACTCCTGTCCACACGGTCAGGTCAGAGGTGGAGGGGACCGCCGACTCCCGTCCACACGGTCAGGTCAGAGGTGGAGGGGACCGCCGACTCCCGTCCACACGGTCAGGTCAGAGGTGGAGGGGACCGCCGACTCCCGTCCACAGGGCCCGGTCAGGGGTGGAGGGGACCGCCGACTCCCGTCCACAGGGCCAGGTCAGAGGTGGAGGGGACCGCCGACTCCCGTCCACACGGCCAGGTCAGAGGTGGAGGGGACCGCCGACTCCCGTCCACACGGTCAGGTCAGAGGTGGAGGGGACCGCCGACTCCCGTCCACACGGTCAGGTCAGAGGTGGGGGGAACCGCCGACTCCCGCCCACACGGTCAGGTCAGAGGTGGAGGAGACCGCCGACTCCCGTCCACACGGCCAGGTCAGGGGTGGAGGGGACCGCCGACTCCCCGGCCACACGGCCCGGTCAGGGTTAGAGGGGACCGCCGGCTCCTGTCCACACGGCCCGGTCAGGGGTGGAGGGGGACCGCCGACTCCCGTCCACACGGCCAGGTCAGGGGTGGAGGGGACTGCCGACTCCCGTCCACACGGTCCGGTCAGGAGTGGAGGAGACCGCCGACTGCCGTCCACACGGCCAGGTCAAGGGTGGACAGGACCGCCGACTCCCGTCCGCGACCGTGCTGTACCATAAATAGGACATGTTCGAGTTGTGCAACAGGAGATACAGCGGAACACAGCCACAAATATGCACTACCATTGCATTGGTGTCAGTAAATTATTCAGGAAAACATGCGCACTCGTAAAACTCTAGAAAAAGAAAAGAACAAGAAGCATTTCGCGCAAAGGCATCTTCAGGGTTGAGAGTAACGTGTTCTTTCATTTGAAACATCAAGATCATCCAAAACTTTGCATTACTCCACATATATCACTTCCGTGCAATAAACAGCATCTAAAAGAAAACTATGCGAGGTATTGTCCGGGAGCGACATACGAGTGGGGAGCGGTACAGTACACAGAGAGCGCGGCCACCGATAGCGGGCCATCAGCCGACGGCCGGGGCAAGGGGCCACACTCCAGTCACGTGTCGCTTCCTCCCCTTCTTTGGAAGACTACTGCATACGCTATTGACACGTGTTCATGCATGTCATGACGTACGTTCGCGAAGTACTGAGCAGCGTGGAAAATTGGTAACGTACTGTCAAAACTCTCAAAAACGGGCTTCTCTCCGACATTGAGTTACTTTTTCGTTAAAGTTGGAGGCTCAAACCTCATAACGGAATAAGAAGCTGCATACCCAATGATTAGTCTATAGACAACACCCTAGTTAGAGCACAACAGCTCTATGACAACAAATAAAATGCAGTTTTATCTCAGACTCCCCTTTTTGACACACCAATTGGCACCCTGGCTCCGCCATCCCAAAATATTGGTCATTGGGTGTTTTCCGAATAACAAAGCAAAACATCCCATTTGCTCGCATACACTCAATGCAAAAAAGTTTAAACAACTTTTTGCTAACCCAAATTTGCATTTTCTAGATACGTCCATGAATTGTCAATGTTGAAACCCCATTTGTACCGCATAAATGCCTAAGTATGTCGATTTCGGAATCAATATCTGTCGATCTGCGTTGGTTGCGCCGAAATCGGCTGAGTGACATCTAACAAATGGCATTTTGTCACCTGCTATCCCTATTACAAATGTATTTAAGTTGGTTTAGACGTGTAGATCTCGTTTAAAGAAATCGAGCACCTTTGCTTTAGGCCATCGGCCCGGCAGCTTCCGAGACCTCACGGAGGCGTTGGGGGGGGGGGGGGGGCGTCCCCCAGGTCCACTCGGAGTAGGGCCTGCCTGGCCGTGCTAGGATGTATATCCTGCTCTGACCGAAGCCCCTTCACCTGGCCTCCCAGCTGTCTGTTCTGTGCAACAGAAAAGCCGCCGCCCTGGTCAGCACCAAAGCATTCTTACATCGGAGGAGACAATGCAAGAGTGAAGGCGGACGTGAATGCTGGGTTAAGCAAATTTTCATTACAGGAATGGTGGTCTCCTTGCTGCGTGAATGGCCTGCTGCTGCATGCCGCTGTTTTACATACAGTTTCATTCATCAGTTACTGCTGATTGCGTTGGCTTCTCGATTCCCAGCGCCGATGTCAAATCCTGCTAAAGGATGCTGCTGTGCCTGGTAACTTTCATTTTATTCCAGTTCGCTGAAATGAAATTGCCAAGCAGGTTGACTTTTTCAGCTTGCTCGGCAGAACTTGGACGCGAAGGTAAGCCGTGCTTCTGCGTAACGAAGTGTTCACTGCAGCACATAGGCTTCTTTAAAAATGCATTCGGGTTTAGTTGTCCGCCTCATTGTTGGTAACCTGTACAATATTGTGGGATGGATAGAACAACTTGTACATTTCAGGTTCTCAGGACTTGATCACTTGAACGTTGGCTTGGAAAAGCGTCAAATTTGTTTAGAATGTGTGGATGACGCTTTCCGATTTAGCAAACAAATGTTTTGAAGAACAGGTAAGATAAAGTGAACTGTTTGTCAAGTAAGTGCCTTCGGCTGGTACCAGACATTTTCGTATTTAAACCCACGGTTGTACGGATTCGCTTCGACGCTGCTTTCTAAATAATGAGGACGCCGGTTGATCATGCTTCGTCTGCAACACCACTGGCTGCTAACCACCACGGCTACATCTGATCGCCTGCAGCACCGCTGGCTGCCAGCCGACACTGCTACTTCTGGTCGTTTGCAGCACCGCTGGCTGCCAGCCACCACGGCTACATCTGATCGTCTGCAGCACCACTGGTTACCAGACGTCACTGATGCATCTGATCGTCTGCAGCACCACTGGTTACCAGCCGTCACTGATACATCTGATCGTCTGCAGCACCACTGGATTGCCAGCTGCCTCTGCTGCATCTGATCGGCGTAGCTCCAGGTGCCTCTGTTGCTGTTATCCGGCCGTATGTTGTTGGCCGAGCAGTCTTATTCATCTGCGGCTACTGTCAGCGAAAACAACTACCTGTTCCGTGGCTTGTGGGCTTTACAACCAAAAAGTTTTTGCTTAAATGGACAGCAAACTGGAAAGAGCGATGACGCTGTATGACCTGGCGACGAAATGCTTTGGACACCGTACGAGTTGCCCAATGTTCTGCTTGAGTCATATGTGGGCATGTGCTATAGTTATTTGCAGATTCAAACAGGGCGATGCAGCCATTTGTTCCGCCGGCAGTAAGAACAAGCAAACAGAACGGCAGGTTTACGTCTATTATTAGATATTTCTCAATAAACAAATATTGGTTACACCAGCATTCAACGCTTTAGCCAGTGTTCTTTGCTTTGCAAACGTACTAGTTTGATGGCATCCTTGGAAAAGTGGTATATCCGCAAGAATATTGTGCTAGTAGAATGCAACTGCGTAGCCTTTTCGTAGTGAGTATGACAATATCGTTCCTCTATGGGTCTCCGTCGCGCTCCATTCTGGCAACATGAAACTTCTTTTTGGTGGTCATTTGTCGTTAATTCATCGAATTCCAGATTTTGATCGCATACACCTGCGGTCACCTTTTACGGCAACATGCATTGAGTCAAAATTGTCCCACTGCTGACACAACATGAGCCATCAACACGGGAGTGGTGACCGGGGGAGCGCATTCTTAAACACCAGCGCAACTTTTCGAAGGTGAAGTCACTCTGGGCTATAGAACAAATCGAAGGTGTCTCAGAGTTGTTTGGGGTTTCATACGGTGTCGTAACCAGGTGGTCCTTGTCCTTGAAAAGTTTAGCTAACAAGGTACGACGGCTCCTCGAAGCTCTCGTCTACGGATGCCTGGCACGTCCACACGCTTCAAACCGACATCAAAACCGCACACAATCGAGCGGGCGTGCGCCCCGCACAGTACCTACCTCCCTACACAAATCTCACGACCCACGGCACGTCGAGCTCCCGCGTCGAGCGTCCGTTACAACACTCCGGCTGCCGCCGGGTCTCACCGCGCATGAAGCGGGTCCCGACCGGGCTGGAGGGCTCGGGCACCAGACGTCGGCCGCCGAGCGCGCCCGCACCCGCCGCGTCCTCCACCCAGCGTGCGGACCCACTGTCACCGCCGCGTCGACGGCGACGACCGTCGGCGGCGGCGCTGACGGCGCTGACGTCAGCGACGCGGCATTCCGCGCCCGCCGCCGGAAGCCCCCTCCTCCAGCGCCCCCTCCAGCGGCGGCGGGCGCTGGGCGCGGACGCGCATGGGTTGGGACCGTGCCCGGCTGCTGTGGTGAGGGCGGAGCTTCTGCTGCTATGTGTGGCATGTTGAGCGCCGAGCTGAAGGGACCGCGAGTCATAGCCGAGGTCAAACAATGTTGGTAGGCGGGAGCAGGCCGACTACATAACACAAATAAAGGGTGGTTAGTGACGCTCGTCATGCAGCAAGGTGCGAAGTGGCTTCTCTGCTGAGATACCGCCACTGGATGGGTGTATTCTGCTGTTCGACAGAGCCGCGGGACAACGCTGCCGTGGAGGGAGGTATGCATCAAAGAATGCGTCATGTGCGGTATGGGGCTTGGAATGCTTGGCACGGCCAGCTCTGTGATCTATCCGCGCCAGTTGCGGTCGGTCCACATTTTTCTGCGATAGCCTACAGCTGAGAATGCATGAACTTCATCATATTCTTTGACATGACATGTGTGACCACTACGCTGGTGCGCCTGATATAAATCCAGTGGATGCTTCATATCACGCCCAAACATTGCAGCAAGCTGACAAAAAAAAACTGAAAAAGTTCGACCCAAAGACAGTGGCTTTTGACTTAACCATTGCCACATAGGTACCACTACAATGCACGAACACACGCTGCGGCAATGTCCATTATTCATAGTTCTAAGAGCATTATAGAGATGCATGATTCGGACCGTAAAGTCTCGTATCACTTTCACACAGTGTATTTACGACGAAGCTTGCAAACCGCACAAACACCGGCATCTTCTTTCGAAACCTGCACAAACACAATGACCGCGAAATCTGACGTAACAGACAAATGCGCGTCACCTGCGTTAGCCGTTCTGACACGTCGAAACAAAAAGCCGGAGTGAGGCGTACACCACAAAGGCTACAAGAACAATGGGCTAGACTTGGGCCGTCTCCAACCACGAGCAAAACACCGCGTCAACCTGTCCATTGCCGCGAGACGCTTTCGACATACGCTCTTCTTTTTATCGCGCGCTTCTTTCTCGGGCGGACCTCAGCCACCTTACAAGCCGCAGCGCCATGTGTGTCAGCGGGCTGGCCCTTTCCTTTTCGGCCCGACTGCGTGGGCGCGGCGCCCTGCCAACGGCCGTTCTAACTTATAATGCCGCTTCTGCACGTCAGATGTCGCTACTCGATAACCAGGCCGAGCTTGTCGCGCGTGTTGACGGCGCGCGCGTAGTTAAGCAGGTCCGGGTTATCCTCGCAGAAGACGGGCTTGGTGTGGTAGCAGGCGATGTCGTGCCACTTGATGCCGTCGTCGTAGATGCCGTTGAGCAGGCCAAGACACGGCTCTGCGGTCTGGTTGATGCCAAACTCGGCGTTGTCCGGCTGGGGTTTCTTCAGGTGACCGGTGGGCGACCACGGCTGCTCCGACCAGCCTGTCGAAAGACCAAGCGCCAGCACAGGCGTGAGCATGCCGTCGAAATCGTGCGACAAGTCCGCGTGAAGACGGTCACATTTAGTGCGGCGTGAGCCGTAAGATGATACATAACTAAGTAGGTAGAGATGTGTATGTCCTGCCATGAGCTGAATAGGATGAGCACTTGACCTGACCTGTCGGCTTTTTATCGGTGGCTGACATTTTGACGTTGGTTCCTGACCAGAACCAGCCGTTGATGTTGAGGGGCTTCAGGTCTTCGCGGGACTCACACCCCTTGAAGTCGCAAAGACGACCCGATGTCCAGAGATAGATGATCCCTCCTGGAAACGGTACAACATGGCCATGGGGCGCGAAGCAAACACTCAGCCAAATCGTGCAGAGTAAGCATGTGCTGCAGCATGAACACAGCAGATGACAATGTAAGGAAATCTCCAATATGCGTCCAGCCATTTTGACTGGCAACGGGGAAACAATGCGGTCCGGAAAATACCTACGCGCCGTTGGAGCACGCGAAGTCTTTAACCCATGGGAGACATTTACTTACGGTATCACGTGGAAGCATTGCAAGTGTGGTATCGTGTGGTAGGTTGGAATAGTTTGACGCGTCGGATAATTGCTTGTTTGGGGTCGTGATACCTTGGGCGTAATGTCACACAGCACATGATGGGCTGTCTCATTACCATAAACACACCCCATTCGAGGCGTGAGTATGACAGGCGCCACGCATCAGTACAATAAACGTCACGAAGACATGATACCTCCATCTGACCCTCCGTAACGTCTCCGTCGTCCGTGAAGGCGGGCGTGACCGTCCGACGACGAGCCAGCGCAGAATGTCACGAGCTCACTGCGCAGAATGTCACGAGCTCACCGCGCAGAATGTCACGAGCTCACTGCGCAGAATGTCACGAGCTCACCGTGCAGAATACGGCCGACCCAGCCCAGCCCGACCAATCGTCACCCCGCATTCCCAAGCGCCTGCCTCGCGGCGGGTCGTCCAGCGGGCACGACCTCGCGGCCGGTCATCTAGCGGGCACGACCTCGCGGCCGGCCGCCCAGCGGACACGACGTCGCGGCGAACCGCTAGCGGACACGACCCCGCAGCGGGCCGCTAGCGGACACGACCTCGCGACCGGCCGCTAGCGGACAAGACCTCGTGACCTGCCGCCCAGCGGACACGACCTCGCGACCGGCCACCCCGCGGACACAACCTCGCGACCGGCCGCTAGCGGACACAACCTCGCGGCGGGCCGCCCAGCGGGCACGACTCACGCTCGGAGATGTTCCGCTTGACCATCTTCCACTCGCGCTCCGTCTCAATGCTGACGCTGTCCATGCAGTGGCGGCGGCAGAGGTTGCGCGCATCCAGCCAGTTGTACCGCTTGCCCACCGTCTCGTTGGTGGTCTCGTCCACTTCCTGGTACTCCGGGACGTCCGCCGAGTAGAAGTACCAGTGGCCGTCCAACGACCAATTTCTGGGGCCTGTTGGAGGAACGGAGGTCAAGGCGAGTCAAAACAACTGCTCACAGAGCGAATAATGCCTGAGGGTACCTCGGGGTGAAGCACTGGTGGTCTCCGTGGAATCATTAGGGGCACAAAACTAGTTGGGGGCAGAGGACGGTGATCCCAGCGTGGGAAACATTTTATGCTAACCATGTGGTGTTGCGTGACAAGAAGTTGTTGCAAAAATGTTTTGAAAAGCGCCTGTCCGACGTGTCTCCTTGACTTTGGGTGTGTGTCCATTCTCCTGTCAGCATTGCGTTTGGGGCGCGAATGCTTTGCGCCCAGGACAAATCCACTGATGGCAGGTTACTTTAGGGTAGAGCAGCATGGGATCAGAAATTCAAAGCTACGCAGATGAGAATCGAACTGCATTGACAAATGGACGCACACAAATCGACTGAAACAATACAAAGACACGCCTGTCAAGTGTAACGTATCTCAAACATCAATGTTGTATCCATCATCACGTTGAATTGGACTGACATGTGATAGAGTGATGCATATTGGTATGCGAAAATATTTTAGCTAAAGTGCATTGAGCCGAGCTATTTGTACTCTCTTCACGAACAGTTTATAACGCAGTGTCTGCTGCTCAGCGCGCGTGCGACATTGTCCGTTCAGGGCCGCCCGCATGACACGACCCGTTCCGAGCGTTGTGCGTGCCGCGCGTTCCGTTCTGGGTCTTGCGTGCGAGACACGGCCCGTTGCGGCCGGCGCCGCCGACTGCGCGTGGTCACACTGGGCCCGTGCAGGCGGTTGGGTCACTTTCACTGACCGACCCACTGCCAGGTGGTACGACCAAACAACTTTTACTCGCGCGGCGGCCGGCGCGTGGCCACGCCGTGTCCTCTCCGCCCTCAGGTGTTACGCCACCCGGTAGTGGCCGCGGGGCTCCGGCCAGCCGTCGCCGCGGCCCGGCCGGTGCCGGGGGTGCCGCGTCGCCGGTCGGATGGCTCACCGCCGCCGGCTTGAGGCCGGGCGTGCGGGGACGCGACGGTAACGTGCGTAGGTGTGATCACCTGTGCAGTGGATGGCATATACCGTTGGAATGCATGGTTTGTTCTTCGGCTACAGCGGAGTAGAGACTCTTTGGTTCTACAGGATCCGAGATCCGCTCCCTTCTCAGGAGACACCCCATGAATTATTCAGGCTCGTCAGCAAGCAAACGAAATTCGTTGCGTACTGACAGCGGCGCTTCCTGTTTGTAAGGACAGGACAGACACTTCCTGCTGTCGCAACGACCACCTCAGCCGCGACCGGTGCCGTCGCCGTCTGGGCGGGAGGCCGCCCCCTCCCCCCGCGCACTCGGTGGGCACCCGTCAGCGACGGCCGATCCGGACGGAAGCGCGGCGCGGGTGCGGGCGCGGGTGCGGGTGCTCGTGCATGGTCCGAGCGATCCGAGTCCATGCTCAATCACGCAGGCCGGCCAGCGGCGGACGGGAGTGCAGCCAGACAGCGACGGCGAGACTTGTGGCAGTGGCGGGCGTTGGACACAGAGGGTAGCATTTTGGTGTGCAAACTGGTTTTGGGGGGCGGCGCGTTTAGTGTGTCCCTGCGCGGCCGGCTCGCGGTCTGCTTTCGTATTTTCCGAGAGTCATGTTGCCTGTTCCGTTTCGTCGTTGACATTTAACCATTCGCGGCGTTTCTTTGGGCATATGTCATGTCTTGCATTCATTCGAGTCACAGGTCGACAGGAATGGCGTGGAGTTGACTGTATTCGGACTGGCAGAAGGTTTAAAACTCACCAACAAAATAGTTTTGCCAACTTTTTGTGTTACATAATTGACACTTTCTTTGTCCTGTTATCGATATCATAGACATAGAATAGGTCAGAAAAGCCCCCTGCCTTCCTTTCCCTATATCCAACATCGGGGAGATCATTTATGAACGCTCGATGCGGTGGAGTCAAAAGCCAACAGTCACCGGCCGAGCGAGACGAGCCGCGAAGTCCGCCACCGCGCCCCTCGATGGGCACCACACGTCTCCCGCCAAGGTCAAGGAGGGAGGAAGGATGATTGGCCGAACTGATCACACTGCCACACGCAGTTCTAGCCCCGGGCCGAAAACGGTGACTCTTCCTTGGTCCCAGACAAGGTTCAAGGAAAGAGGAAGCGAATTTAACACCTGGCACGGGTAGACTCAGGCGAGAGGAAAGCAAAGGTTTGTGATTCTCCGGCCGGCATTGTGGGCGGGCCAAAGAAGAGCTTAAGGGGCTCGTCTGACACTGATCCCGACGTAAGGGACGAAGACACCTGGTGCCTTATCTTGATCAATGTGAGGAAGAGACAGTGCCTACTGAGGCACGACACCTGCAGACCAGAGAAGAGATTAAGGGGCTCGTCTGACACGGATCCCGACGTATAGGGACGAAGACACCTGGTACCTTATCTAGATCAATGTGAGGAAGAGACGGCGCCTAACTGAGGCACGACACCTGCGGAATCTTCACGCTGCCAGCGGAGCTACCAGGAGCATCGTCAGCGACGAGGATGCCTTTATCTATGGAGACCTGAGAAGGCTCGTTCTAAATGACGAGGGTCACGAATGGAGTCATGCTATCCCGTGAACTGAGGAACGCCCAATTATCTAGTATATCTTTATATCCAGTACAGCCCATCTAGCCACGAAGAAAGGTTGAGTGCAGAACAATGATAGACGATATATTTTATGCCGTAATAGACTCTTCTTGCCCGTATCATGAATTGCCTCCCCCCCCTTTCAATCAATTTTGCATGATTGTCATAAGGCACTATTCCCGCGCTAATAATATTCCCTTTATCTTCCTGACAGCAGTGGATACTTGCGAGCAATACCAGGCGTCATTGGCTAGGCGTTTGCTACCCATGTTCCAGGATTGCGTGGAAGCCGTAGCCAATAGAAAACGCGGTGAACAATTACCAGAACGGGGAAGCAACACCTGTATGAGTGCAGTGTGTTTTCCGGTGTTCCAGCTGTGGACATACCAAACACTGAATTTGTCACAAACAACGAACCTTGGGCATTGCATTTGCCTTGTTTTTATGCTTATGCTTTATGCTTTTATGCTTATGATAACCGCGAGTGAACACGCGGTCGAACATTGAGACAAAAGGCGGCAATGTGCAGACGTTATGTAATTTTGCTGCGTTTAACTGATATCATCTTACGACTAAGATTTATCATCTAAGACTAAGACTTAGACGATTATGCCATTGCGTGCAATTGAAATTAACTGGAGGACAGTTCATAATCATCGCCTGATAGGCAAGCAAAACTTCGTTCGCCTGGGGTGCATGTCAAAACATATGCCTGATGCACTTTTCCAGTGCACTGCAACTTTTTCACCAATGACGCCATCTATGGCGGCTTCCCACCTTCGACCAACGTTTTGCCTCAGCCAAGCATCGCCATTTCATGGCTCCCTAAACTGCGTAGCACTGTGGCTAACCAGTAGTTTACATGCGTCTCGCGCAGCGCTCGAACGCGGCGCTCCATGAAGCCCAAGGTCGAGATGACTCAGCACACATCCGTTACGATCAGCAGAGCGGCGGTATCGCGGTAACTCAGCGCCACTAAAGACACACGGCGGAGATAGGTCTGACGCGTCCCCAGCATGTGTGGCCGCTCCAAGGACAGCCAGATCGCGGGCGGCCAAGAAAATGCCGCGCCGGTGGCCGTGTTTTCCCGGTCGTCGGTCCGCGGAGCCGCAGGCGGCGCCCAGTTGCCGGAATCCTCCTGTTTGCCAGCATGACCGTGTGGGGGGCGCCGCAGTGCCCCGCGGACACATGGGGCGTTCGCCGCTCGGAAACGCTCGCCGCTGGAGGTCATCTTCCGTGCGGGACAGCACACGCGGTCGGGTCACGTGTCTGGTTCGGGGACTTTAGGGCTTTGGACTAAAAACACTTACGGCTAGCGCACTTGACCGGCTCGGGTGGCTCCAGAAGCGTGCCCGTCGATGACGATTTGGTTGTGGTGGTGGCGGCTCTCGTCGTCGTAGTGGTGGTTGTCGTTGTTGTGGGTCCTTGCCGTGGTTGTCGGCGGCCTGCAACCCGGACACGAGCGGTTCAGCAGCGCGCTGTGCCAATCAGTAAAAGTAAGAGATCCCAGCGTTGCAACACACAGATGGGGGCACGGCTTAAGCCAGGTGATCCGCTGCTTGGAAAAGGAGCCGACGTTACGGAAAATGCAAGCGACGAACCTGGGCATCGGTCCACCCCAATGCACATCGCTTCCAGCACGCGCCGACGTCGTCTCTCCTGTGACCGTCCGTGGACATCCCATGGCTTGGTGTCTCGGTATCTCCTCCATGAGACCGGGCTGAAGGCGATGGAATCTCCGCAGACTGTCCACGGCTGGGTAGTGGTCGCACCTCCATGGCTTAATCCCTTCGCACTGGCATGACCGCATTCTCACAACGGACACCAATAACAGGAACTGTGACCTAGTGGGCGCATGCTTGAGCATTTGAGCAGTGGTGTGAGCATGGTGTGAGCATTGAGCATTTGAGCATGGTGTTTGAGCACGACACTGCAGTGGCATCGCGAATGCGACTGAAGCGCCTCAACCCAGCTGGCTTCCTCTGTCGACGAATGCTGCGCGGTGGCTTGGCCGATCCGCATTGGACTGATGTCGGTCCAGAGGTGGGGGAAGCGCCTACGTTCTACAAGCCACTCCTGGCGTGTGCGACGGCCTCTGCGACGTCACCTCCAACGTCACTGGTGATGAACTTCCGTGGCGTCTCATCCGTCGCCACTGGAGGTGACGGCAGCCGTGGTCATGTCCGCTGACATTACCGGCAGCTGCGGCCCGGCACTCGGGGTAGCCGGGTCATACGGCAGTTGCAACCTCGAGGCCAGTTGGCGACCGCACTGGGCGGCGCGATGACGAAAACGCTCGCTTGTGATGTTGCAGTGTGCCGCCACCACTACTTACTGCATGCACTCCGCCACCAGGCGGCGATTTAGAAGTGTCGAGCTTTTGTAGGATGTTGCCTTCCGTGCTACGCCCACACCCATGATGTCTAATCTCGCAAAAGCTTGTAATTTAGAAGGCGTGAGCTGCCTCGCCCCTCCTGCGGCGAAGACCGTGGTTCTGACACGCTCTGCCGGTCAGCCGCCGGGGGCCTTGCTCCGGTGAGGGCCCATTATAAAGGTCACCTTGAGACGTGTGCCTTGCAGCGGATTAAGCGTCGGCTGGGAGTCGACCGCACCGCCCGTTATGGCCAGAGCCATCCAGTCACGACCGCCGGATGATGCAAACAGAAAAATCCGACCCGGCGAGAAAAGTTCTGCATGAAGGGATAAGCTGCTGACTCATCAGGAAGGTGTTAAACGTTCATCGGGAAGTGCATGGCCCGTGGGTGTGGGCCGGGAGTGTGTATGCACGTGCTCGTTCGTTTGCTGATTAGTTGTGAACATCGCCAAATTGACCTATATTGTTGAAACGCAGCGGAGCAGAGTGAAGTATTGTCTGTCTGCGTCATGCAAACACACCATGGGATTTGTATGATCTGCATGGGCTCTGACGTGGACGCTGTTTCACACGTGTCCGTTCCGGAAAGTCCTGTGAGAGTCATCCTTTACAAGATGGCAAGGAAAGCATTTAAGTTATTTTAAAAAATCTTGCAAGACCATTGATCGCAGCAGGCAGCTTCTTTCCATTCAAAGTTCATCTTTAAATTTGTTTGGGCAAGGCGCATATTCTTAGCTAGGGATATTTGGTGGGAGCTTTCAGCAGCGTCTTCAAAACTTACCATATATATATATATATATATATATATATATATATATATATATATATGAAGCACGCTCGCAACTTTCAACAGTATCGTGAGTTTGGTATGACCCTGTTATCACCATACAATAGACGGACATGTCGCACACCATCACAAAGCGTAAAAGCGCACAGCACAAATCTCGAAAATGATGCCCCGCCTATTGCTCCCCACCGGACACGCCGTGCGCGCTGCACTGGCCACGTGATAACGCCACGCGCCCTTGGGAAGTGCCGCTTGATGGGGCGGCTCACCGTCTCCGGAAATTCCGCTGCGTTTTTCTGATGGACTCGCGCTGTCTCTGGAAGGTGGACTGACCCGCCACCAGCGCCACCAGAAGGACAACCAGGCACACTCGGAGCAGCATGGCTAAACCTGCAACACACCACAGGCGTGGGTTGGTCGGCAGCGCACAGACGGAAAGTCACGTGGGTTGGTCGACAGCGCACAGATGGCTGCTTACATGGCGCGCACTTACATGGGTTTAGTTAATGCGCTCTGTTATCGGCACAGCTGCCGTTGCCGCTTCCGCCAGTAATGTGGGCGAGGGCACTGCTCGCTGTGCTGTGCTGCGAATCATTTCAGCTTGGCTTTTGATTAGCTGACCCAGGTAGACTTAAATGTAAGTTGGTGTAGCTTAAAATAGAGCGCAGCTTGTCATGGTAGAGCTCCAGTGACACACCTAGTTTGCACCAAATATATTAGTAGAATGTTTCTACATACACGGGGCGTTATAAAGAGTACCATATCAATGATATTTTGTACACTTGTTGGTCCGAGGACAAAATGAAAACGATATCAAAGCCATCCATAAACATCTATCAGCTTATTGGGGCCTTTGCAACTTTTTTTTGCTCGTGTGTCTTTCCATTCAAACACATTCAAGCATCCTGATATCGTGCATGCAAACTGCCTGACATTCTCAGCGTGAGGGGCCCGCTTTACCCCACCACAAAGTGTTCATTGAGATTGCCTGCGCGGTTTTGCGCTGCAAAACTTATCTGCAGCCCCATCATCCCGTCTCTGCCTAGTACCGTACTATTTGGACCAGGCTGATGGGCGTGATTTGCGTCTGGGACCTGAGTTTGCGTCTGGGATTGCTCATACTAATGCATATGTATAGTTCCTTGAGCTTCGGGCGCCTCGAAACAAAGTGTGATACAGAGCGTGATAAAGCTACGCGAGTTTTGCCGGACACCCAGCGTCAGTGTGAGACATTGCAACCATTCCGACAGGCTGGCAGACATGCCTCTACTACATAACAGAGGATTTTCAGCTCGCTCAGTTCTGAAGACCAGGTGGATAAACAAAGTAATCATCAGGTCGAGCTTCAGTATGTTTTACCCGACTGCGCCCCGCGATCTATGTGACAGATTATGTTACATATATGATGTATCTTCGAGGATTATGAAGACGAGATATCCCCAGCCCCCCCCCCCCCCCCCCGGGTCCGTCGGCCAGCTGAGTGATGCCGAGGTGCTTTGCCGTATATAGCAACATACAAAGCTGATCAGATCGCAGGTGTCCGTCTCTTTCCGATCGCTCGTTAGCTACTAATCAGAGATACAAACAAACGGCAAGGGTTTGTTCAGGAGGCATGGCCGTTATGCCGTGCTTTCATTGCAACGACCAAAAGGGAGTAACAGGAGATCAAGGTAATAGCTGGACAAATTTGTTTTTGTCAGCTGAATACCCTTTAACAATGCCTATAAGCCCCGATTATTCAAACACAATGACTATTTAAAAATGCATTTAATGTGCTTTCTTCAGCTTGAGACCCTCGAGAGGGAACAAATCTTCTCACGGATGTAGGGTTTCAAAAGCTGAAAAAATTGGGATTTCACTCATATCATGGTGGATTTGAGGCCATGAGCGAAAGAAGATCATTTTAAAAATTTGTAGACAACATTGGGTTTAAGTCGGCCACTAACGAGTCCCATTTTTGACATAACGCACTAATCTGATTTACCAGCTACCTTTGTTTTACCTCATTTTCTAAATTCACACCAATGAAAAAGATAATATCACTCTTTCCGCAGGTGAAGACGGACATTTCGTGCAAAAATCCGCATTTCTTTGCACTTTTCTTGCATGTATCTTTAAATTTATTATGTTAGAAGCGTTAATAAATACAAACATGGGAAGCCTTGTGTTTTCACCGCTTCCCGACACGATGCAGAATGCTCAGTTCTGCATCGCGAAAGTTACAGTCAGCCATTGACGTATGTTCCGCAGTGAATTCTATATGGCGAATTAAATTATTAATCTCTCTATGGAGCGCATATTTTAAACAGCTTGCGTCACATAGCACAAGTTTATTTCATGTCATAGACAACTCATTTCTCAAGGTGGACGTTGGCACTGTTCTGCAAAGTATAACTTCAAAAGGCCTTTCTTCTTATTTCCATCATGCTGACCACCCTCCCACAACGAGCTAGGGCTGGCGTTCCTGTTTGGCTAGAGGCAGTTGCGACTCAAATCGCTGGTCATTCGCCTCGGCAGGAGTGTCCTGCCTTGCGCCGTCGCCTAGCATAGCGGAGATGCTGCCTACTACGGCGTCCATCTCTCTGTTGCGTTTCTACGCAACGTAGAAGTCACCAATGCCGACTGCGCTCCAGGTCTCGCCGCTTTCTTTCGACGCTGGTTGAAACTTTGGCGTAATTCGCTAGATGCTAAAAACATGTCACAACAGAGCTACCTCGTTTGTTTAAAAGTACGCGCGAATTCGGAAGGCAAGTGTAGACTGCCTCCAAATTTCCGACTTGACACGCCGGCAACTTCGAAATGCCACGTCGTGCCTAAGCTCCGCCCACTTCTCACGCATTAGCAAGGCAACTTTCGACTTGACGTGGCTTGTGGAAGACTGGTTATACGCTGGCTCCATTGAGACCCTACATCAGCGTAGCTTTTATCCAAGGTAAATCAAAAGATTGCACCGTGATGTGTCGACAAACAATAAAACGTTTATCTGCTCTTCCATTTTGAACGGACTTTGAAAATGCCTGCTTCCGGCCCATGTCTGAGTGCCGTTTCGATAAGATAATGTTTTGAATGCAATTTGGCCTTCGGGAAAGCTTAACGATGTTCTTCAAATATTTTCTGTCGGCATCAGACCGCATAAAACTCCGTTGCCGATAGGGCAATGGCCCACGCTGCTGACGTTGCCACAGCAGACGGATGACATTTCGAAGTCGGTCTCTCCCTGAGGGCCTTGACAGGCGTCGCAGTGACTTTACTTCTGAAAAGGTCACTGTGGCTGCTCACAAGTCCAGAGATTCCCCGCTATCCAGGTCACTTTCATGATCATTAACATGTCTTTTACCCGTCTGCCAGTCCTATTCCAGCATACGTGCCAATACGCTCATCAAAGGAAGAAATTATGACTATACTTTTGGCAGCGATAGTACCGAGCACATCGCATTCCCGGCAGTGTTAGAAGCCCAGAACGAGCAACGTCTCCCAAAGATGTTGGCGCTGACGACAAAGGTCAACGGATGGGTTGACAGATGTTGCGCCGCGGATGTAACTACTTATGGCTAGTAAATAATTTAGAACGAAAATGGGAAGTGTGTTTTGCTTCGGCAGAAATTTTTGGGCAGAATTATGTTAAGATAAGCTTCCAATGTTCAGCACTACGAAGGATTCGGTAGTGCGAAAGGAAAGAAAGGATGAATGATGTTCATAACTTGATCCAGAAACTGATCTTCGATCGGGGATTGGGCAACTTCTTGACACCCCGGTGCTTTAGACTGCGAGCCTGCGGTTACGTCGCAACAGATGTTGCCATGTACAAAAATAACCGTCGTCGCCGTGACGTCACGCAACAGCGCCTCGCCCCGGCTGTTCTCGCGGGTCAACCGCGGTCATTCCCCGACCCGCGCTGAGGCAACTCGACATTGCAGCAACACCGCCGGTACCCCGATGAATGGACCAACAGCGTTCTGCTCCGGGGGCAGAGGCCATCCCGAGAATTAGCATCGAGACGGAGAGGAACGGGGGCAGCTCCGTGCGGGCACACTCCAACCCGACCTGACCACCGCCGGCCAGGGCGGCTGGTCGTTGAGTAACCGGACCGGTTGCTCAACTGGCGGTCAGCGCCGGCCGGCTCCCCTGACGGCGCCGCAACAGCGCGAGCCGCAGCGCGGCCGCACGTGGCGGCCGGCCACTGGCCGGTGGAAAGGGCCACCTCGACGAGGAAAGGGTGCAGATGGTCACCAGGAGCGTGCGGCCTCGCCTGGGTCGGCAGACGGCTGTCCGACACGGCGGGATAGACGGCCACCCACCGGCGCGGGAGGGAGCACGGACGGTCCACCCATCCTGGCGAGGATACAGATGCTTACCCGACGCGGGAAGAGTGTAGATGCTTATCCGACAACCAAAAGGGCGCAGTCATTTTAGGGAAGGGGGGGGGGGGAAGGGAGGAGCGAATGACCACCCAACAAGGGCGAACCACGGAGGGCCACCCGAGCACGGGAAGGTCATATGGTCGCTCGGCGCAGAAGGGGTACAGACGGTTATTGCAACACGGTGGCGATACAAACGGCCATTCCAACAGACAAGATCTCGCCACGGGGCTAGGGACAGAGGCCCCCCCGAGGCAGAGGGAATTCAGCGACACGCAGGAAAGAGTCTCCCGGCTCTTCCAACGTCCCGAGAGGTTCCATGAACGGCGCACCTTTCACCCGCACCATCCGGCTTCCACGGCTCTCCTCGCCGGTGGCACGCGCACCTCGACAATGACGCACCGGCTGGGGCTCTGAGCATGACGGCCACAGGGTTCTCCTTGACACGGATAGTGACGCCCTTCAACCCCTGCCGATGACGTTCCTCAGAACTGATACACGGCACTATCAGATGCCGTTGTGGACGACAGAAATCGTTAAGCAGAAGCATGTGGGGTTTGATTAATTCGGCATGCGTCATTTTAAACTTGGCATGTCGCATTTAGTTACGGGATACCTTTTGGAGTTAAGCCAAATATAATCCTTAGCAGCCGTGCTTTCAAAAGAACCATATTCTACTGCTTTGTAAGCTTCCAAGAAAACGCAAAGTATTTTTATTGTCTGCAATGTGCAATTTCTTCGCAGACACGCATATTGCATGAAACAAGACTATGTAATTGCAATGTTTGTACTTATCCTATATCATCTGTTACACACTGAGTCTCACCAGATGTGCTTTAAAGCACTGCAAAACAGTTTATGCAAACAATACGCGGCTTTCTGTTCGTGAAGGGACAGGCAAAGAACTCATAATAAGCCCAATGTTTGCGAACAAAAACAAATAATCACACGCCAACCGGCACGTTTCTAACCATCACAGCCCTCTATTAATCTGGGACCTCCTCCCCCTCAGGAGTGGCCCTGAGGACGTACCTTTTGGAGGATCGGCGGTGGCGGAGAGACTAGCCCGTGTCTAGCGCTACCATCCGGGATAAATATCGGCGCATACTTTTACGGCGGCCTCTCCACGAATCAGCGACGCGACGGCAAGGTCAGCGGCTGGAACCGGCGGCCGACCGGGTCAGTTGGCCGCCGCCAGCAGCCGGCGGCACGCGCAGGCAGGCAGGAGACGTCAGCCACACCGCACACGAGCAGGCACGAGACGTCAGCTAACACCGCACACGAGCAGGCAGGAGACGTCAGCCACACCGCACAAGAGCAGGCAGGAGACGTCAGCCACACCGCACATGAGCAAGCATGAAACGTCAGCTAAGGCCACACATGAACAGACGTGAGTCATCAGCCAACACCGCGCATGAGGAGGCACCAGTCGTCAGCCAGCACCGCACACGAGCAGGCACGATACGTCAGCCAACACCGCATACGAGAAGGCATGAGACTTCAGCCAACACCGCACACGAGGAGGCATGAGACTTCAGCCAACACCGCACACGAGCAAGCATAATACGTCAGCCAACATCGCACACGGGCAGGCATGAAACGTCAGCAAACACTGCACACGAGGAGGCATGATACGTCAGCCAACACCGCACACAAGCAGGCATGAAACGTCAGCAAACACTGCACACGAGGAGGCATGAAACGTCAACAAACACTGCACACGAGGAGGCATGATACGTCAGTCAACACCGCACACGAGGAGGCATGATACGTCAGCCAACACCGCACACAAGCAGGCATGAAACGTCAGCAAACACTGCACACGAGGAGGCATGAAACGTCAACAAACACTGCACACGAGGAGGCATGATACGTCAGTCAACACCGCACACGAGGAGGCATGATACGTCAGCCAACACAGCACACAAGCAGGCATGAAACGTCAGCAAACACTGCACACGAGGAGGCATGAAACGTCAACAAACACTGCACACGAGGAGGCATGATACGTCAGTCAACACCGCACACGAGGAGGCATGAGACGCCAGCCAACACCGCACACGAGGAGGCATGATACGTCAGCCAACACCGCGCATGAACAGATGTGAGATGTCAGCTGACGCCGCACACGAACAGACATTAGACATCAGCTGGCGCCATGGAAATGCATAGAAACGGTCGCCCCGGTCTTACAGAGGAATGGACCTCCCTACGTTAACCCACGCCACATAAATAACTTACGTATGCTATTCCCTTAAGCCTCCAGGGTTGTGAGCAGAGTTTGTTGGATATCTGTAGCCAGCTGAAACAGTAGTAATGGATTTCGTTCTAATAAAAACTGCCTTGCGCAGTCTTTCCTGACGAAAGTCTTTGCATCAATCGGGATTTCCGGTCATTTCCATTCTGACCCTGCCAACTTTCCGGTCACCCACCCCAATATGGTGAATGCGTATCAATTTCTCTTTTAATATAGTCAACTTTTGCCATTCCATATGAACTCAAAGAGAAATCGATAGGAGTAAAATTGATTCAGGAGACGTATAAGCGCGGGCATCTGCGCTGATGGCAACAGCGTTCCAACCATTGCCATCTTCCCGATCATCATCAAGTATCTACATTCGCATCTCAAAATACTTGTTTTGTTCTTCTATAAGTTAATGCTAATATTTATTCCAAAGTGCACTTAGGGTTGACATTTCATTTTGAGAAGACAATAAGAAGGCACCCAATGTGTGTGATATACCAAGACGTTTAGTTTATTGTCCAGCTCATGCTTAACTCTAAACGGGTCGGCTCATTTCAATCTTTGTTATTTCCTGCCCAAAATGCGTGTGTTGTTTTTATAAAAAGGGTCTACAGAATCTAGCAAATCCCTAGGTCGTGAAATTCCCTAGTTCATCAGTCTGGTCACCAAATTACGTCCAGCAACTGTTCACGCAACCATCAAAATAGCATAATGTCTCACTTGCGTATGCCAGCAATTTGAACTACAAATACCTACGTAACACTCTTTATTAATCTATTTTGTTGAATTGTCTTCAGCCATACCCCCAAGGCTCCGCACAAGTTTGCGTACGCCGTCGCACATCGCCACAGCGCCGCCCGGACCGCTCCAGTAATCAGCCCCCCGTGAACAACCGGAGCCAAGTCTGGTACAGTCCACCCTCACTCTGGGACACACGCTAGAGCCAACATCCAAGCCGAAGCTAAAAGTTAAACTGCATTGGTTTCAGCCAGGACCGGACTTTGCTGCATTTACGGGGTCTGAGAGCTAAAGTGCGGAACTGATTGCACACCTTCCGTCGCAAACAGTTCCGTCGTAACAGGTGGAGGCGGCCGCGCTAACGGTTAGGTGGCGTCAGAGGGTAGGAAGGACTGTGCCGAGCATTGCGCTACGTTCAACTTTCGCCGAAAAATTCCGCCGTTGACCCGGAACCTCATAATCGGATGGTGGGGTCAGGGATCACGCAACAAGCACTGCTTATCGTGGGCGGTGATCCCAGAAGTCCATCCAATCACGCAGGTTTTTTTACGAAGGCGTCTTTTTACAAAAAAAGTCTTCAGCTCAGCATTGCATGAGAGTTAGTTATTCAGCTTGAAGGGCGCATCAACCCAGCTGTACAGTACGAGATAGCTCGGAACAAGCACTGGTGCTACTCTTCCTGCTCTCTCCTTCGTGCATCTGCATCCCAACAATATTGTACGTCAGTAGCCGCGTGCTATCGAGACAGACGGGTTATCAGCAATCCGTTGACAAAACACACCTGGCTGTAAGTGGAAGCCGTCTGCCATGACTTGGACAAAAGTCTGCGACCTCATCTATCTAACATGAAGTCGACGGTAAGCGACAACTCACTCCTCACTTGCATTTCATTAGCTTAGCTTGAAGGACACCGGATCCGAGAACCGATCTGTGTGACCGCAACCACCCCCGTTTGGCTTGTTCTGAGAGCAGGTCCACCTGCCAGCACCGCGAACCAGCCAGCCCTACCATCCAGCTCTGCCCTGAGTTCAGAAAGTATGAGCCTATGCACTGGGTAATTACATGGCGTAGGCATACGAGCCAGAAACGAGACGCTTTAAATGATCTTCCGTTTCGGGGGCATTGATGGGTAGAACGTGCCGGTTAGACTAAGTTGCTTTTCGTGCGTCCATGCGCCTCAGATCAGCATGCTCGCATTTCGGGGCATGGGACTGTGCCCTGGTATAAGTAGACGACTTTAAACGCCAGTGCCGTCAATTTCCGCGGGATGACCTTCGAAGCTTTGTGCGATCGCACCAAAACTGAAAGTCAACCAGAAAGGAACTGCTGTATTTTTTGAAATGCTAGCTTCTGACTGGACGTGGAAAGAAGTTAAAAATGACGTGACGTCATACAACTTCTCTCATCTGCTGTACGCCTGGTTAGGCTGCCCGGCACCGAAGTACCATGGTTCCCGGCAGCGGGCTCAGAAGTTGCGGACTTTTTGGCTGTTTTGTAACTCTTCGACCCAGGGGTAGCCCGCATCTAAGTCTGGTCGGAGGGCTGCAATTACAGTCTGCAGGGAAACTGCTTATTTCCCGTTCCATTTTCCCCGGAATTATCTCCAAAAAAAAAAAAACACGGCAGGCTTTGACAAGTTCAGTTATGATTTCGATGCGTTTAAGACTGGCTTTAGAAGTTATAATCAGACAACAACAAAAAACTTTGAACGCTGGCAGTAGGTGACCCTACCACGCCATTGTATAATAGCAGGTTCATCCCGGTTTGCATTTCAGTCGAGTGCCTTTCGACACACGCAAATTTTCCCAACGGAAGAAACGGGATCGGACTGCGCGTGGTACCGTGCATGGTAATGGTCACATGGCCGGCACATGTTTGCCCAGATATACCGTACACACATGCGCCACCACCAATGAGAGAAATGTTCCAAATCAACGCATGAACACGTACGGCGGGAACCGATGCCCGTGTCGATGATTGCTCGTCTGCCGGAATGAGCCCTCTGCACCAGGTCTTTCTCGACCGCAAACACACGTGACTTCAGCAGATAGCGAGTGATACCGAAGATGTAGTCAGCTCAGCAAACGCGTGCTGCTTCTCTCCTATTTACCGTTATTTGAATACAATTAAGAGACGCTATCTGATGGCCGACTCATGGACAAATGACTATTTGCAACAATTTTGACTGCACTCCATACACTGCACCCGAATGCAGCATGCAACAATGACATGCAACGTGCAGCAATGACAATTGTAATATGTTTGCTACAGGATAACCGTGGCAAGAACCTATCAAATCCCTGGAGTTTTTGGTGTGCAGTAAGCGACATCTGTACAAAGGTGGAAGCGACATCTGCGGCAAGCCCGCGAGGTTCCATTGACTGTGCCAACCGGCGCACATGTATTATCATCCTGCTTGGAAGAATGTGAAATTAAGCCACGTCCTATCTGACATTTCTGCGTTCCGATTTACTATTAGTGATATTGTTTTATCGGTCAGACAGGTTGCATATTTCCAGACATTTGTCGGTTTATTGGCAACGTTGTTACAAATACCAGCTTACCACAGTCATGAGTTAGTGATGAATAACTTCATCAAGTAACGTACGAGCGCCATTATCACAAAAGAGTCCGAAGACAGGACCCACTGGGTCTCACGATTAAGACAAAACCACCAGCCGCTAAACAGAGCTGATCATATTCCTCTGCTCGCGTCTACACCTGCCCTGCCCGCTCTACAGCTCCGCAGCTCCACCACAGCTCTCCAGCACAGCTCCACCACCTCAGACACTCACTTCTTCTTGGGCGGCTTGGCCTTCCTACTCGACTCCATCTTGCCCAGCGTTCGGTCCAGCTTCAGGTGGAGCAGCGCCTTGCGCCGCTCCTCGGCCGCCGGGTTCGCCGCGCGGCTGTACGCGCCGCTGACGAACTTGGCGCGCGCATCGCGGCGCGCTGCCGCGCCACAACCGTGCGCCTCAGCCATCCAGTGCGTGAGACAGAAGACGCTCGCGCAGAACTCGCACGTCTGCCGCATGAAGATACCCGACGAGCACCTGGGCTCGGCGTTGCAGCGCTTGTTCATATCGGCGAAAGACGAGACGAGGCTGTCGAAGTCCTCGTCTGCAGCAGCCGCTGCTGCCGCCGCCGTCGGGCGCGGTTTGCTCTTCTTGCCCTTGCCCGCTCGGGCGGGGGCGCGAGCGGGGGCAGGGGCAGGAGCGGGAGCGGGGGCGGGGGCGGAGGCGGAGGCGGAGGCGGAGGCGGAGGCGGAGGCGGAGGCGGAGGCGGGAGCGGGAACGGGAACGGGAGTGGGGAAGGGAGCGGATGCGGAGGCAGGCGCCTTGCCCGACAGCTGGCGGCCGCAGCGAAGCGCGTGCAACTCAGCGTTTCCCGCCGGCACGGTCTTCCGGCAGTGTCCGCACTGCACCGCGCCAGCGGGCATGGGCCCGGTAACGGCGGCGTCCCCGCTGGCGGACGGCCCACTGCCGGCAGGCTTGCCGACAGCCGGCTGGCTAACCGAGGTGCTACCGGCGGTGAGTTTGCCGTTGGCAGGTTTCCTGCCCGACTGTTGGCTGTCGGTGTCCTTTCCAGCAGGTTTACTACGAGTGGACTTGGCATCGACGGATTTCTTGTTTTCCGCGATGGTGGACGACGAAGCTGTAATAGCTGCTTCCCCAGACGAGCCAGATCCGCCGGGAACGGATGCATCCTCCGCCGAGTCGCTCAGCCTCGCGGCATCGACTGACGGCGAGTCGGCAGACAGACCACTCTTCTGCACGACAACACAGCGAGCGCGTCCCTCCCCGCAGCTGGCGTGCGCCAGACCCAGCTCCTCAGCCACCTCGTGCACTTGCATGCGCTGGAACGAGTTCAGCGTCGCGGGGAACTCCAGCCGATCATCGCCCGTCGCCGTGAACTCCTGCAGCTGCTCCCGTACCTGTTCGGCGAAGGTATCCTCCTCGGCCGGCGCCTCCGCCTGCGCCGCAGAGTCGGGAGTCGCCTGGTGCGTCGCTCCGGCGCCGGCGCGCGGTAGCGCTGGCTCCGGCCGCGGCCGCCGCTGGCTGGCCGGCTTGGCTTTGGCCGGTCGGGTCGCTTCGCGCGGCCGCGCCGCCGCCTCGCGGCGCGGCGCGACCGGCGTGACCGTGGCCGGGCCCAGCTCGCGCTCGTAGCTGTGCGCCGAGCGAACCTCGCCGTGCTCCGACAGGTGATCCACCAGCGAGGCGAGGAAGGCGTCGGCGCGCACCGTCGCCGTGTCGCAGACGACGAACAGCTGGCGACGGGCGCGCGTCACCGCCACGTTGATGCGGCGCCGCTCGGCCAGGAAGCCGACCTCGCCGCGTCGGTTGGAGCGCACCAGCGACAGCAGCACGGCCTCCTTTTCGCGGCCCTGGAAGCCGTCCACCGAGTTGACTTCGACGTCAAGCCCGAGCGCGCGCAGCCGGTCGCGGATAAGGCCCACCTGCAGGTTGTAGGGCGTGATGACGCCCAGCTGGTCGGCCGCAACGCCGGCCGCCACCAGGCGGCGCGCGTGCGCCGTTACGATGTCGGCCTCCCCCTCGTTGCCACGCGAGCCCGCCTCGTCTGCCTGCACCTCCTCCAGCCGGCAGCCGGCCGTGTCCACCAGCAGCAGGGCCGGAGCCGTCTCCTCCGTGTCCTCCACGCCCGGTAGCTGGGGCAGGCGGTGGTCGCGCACGGCCGGCGCCGCCTCCAATCGGCCGTCGTATAGCTGCTCCGAGGGCCAGCGCTGGATCAGCTCGTGCATGCGGTACTGGGTGCACAGCATGCGCACGGCCGCGTCGCCGTGCAGAGCCACCTGGCGCTCCATCAGTGACACGGCCAGGCCGCGGCGGGCGGCCTCCTCGCTGAGGATGGTCGGCGGCAGCTGACAGTGGTCGCCGGCCAGCAGGAGACGGCCGGCGCGTGGCGCCGCCAGCCAGCAGGCCGCCTCCAGCGCCTGCGAGCACTCGTCGATCACGACGAGGTCAAACAGCTCGCCATCCAGCAGCCGCAGCGGGCCGTCGTCGCTGGCGGCGGTCAGCGTGCTGAGCACGACGGCGGCGCGGCGCAGCACGCCCACCGTCAGCGCCTGCTCGCGCTCGCGCTGCTCGGCGCGCAGCCGGCGCAGCTGGGCGCGCAGCCGCGGCGCCTCGGCGCCGGCGGCGCGCAGCAGCCGCTGCGTCTCCTCCACCTCTCGGCGCACGTCACGCACCACGGCCGCGTCCTCACTGCCCGTGACGCGGGCGTCCAGCGAGAAGCCCTGCAATGAGTCCTGGATGCGTGCCGGGTGGCCGAGGCGCACCAGACGCGTGGCGCCGGCCGCCCACAGCCGCTCCAGCAGGTTGTCGACGGCGGTGTTGGACGGCGCGCAGGCCAGCACGCGCTGACCCAGCCGCACATGCTGCAGGATGGCCTCGACCACGGCGGTAGTTTTGCCGGTCCCGGGCGGGCCATGGATGACGGCCAGTCGCCGCTGGCGCAGCGCGAACTCCACCGCCGCACGCTGCGACCCGTCCAGCTGCTGGTTGACGAGCCGCAGCTGGCCGCTGTCGTCGGTCAGCTGCGGCGGCAGGCCCGGCGCCGGCGGCTCCAGCGCGCTCTCGGCGAACAGGACGGCGCGCAGCTGGCCAGCCGGCCCGGCCACCACCGCCTCCAGCCGCTGCAGCGCCGAGCGCAGGCGCCGGTGCGTCACGTCGCTGGCCACCTTCACCACGTTCACGAGCTGGTCGTCCGAGTCGAGCTCGGCGTCCTCGACGAAGACCAGCGTCAGCTCGGCGGCGGTGACGCGCGAGACGACAGCCGTGCGCACGCCCTCGCCCGGCGGCCGGCCCGTCTCAGTCACGGCCACCACGTCGCCGGAGCCGAGCGTGTGACTGGGCAGCGGCGCTGGCTGCCGGCCGGCCGGCCGCAGCGCCAGCAGGCAGCGGCCGTACAGCGCCGTGCGCCGCTCGGTCACCGCCAGCCGCGACAGGCACACGCCCCGCTCACACAGCTGGCGCACTGAGAGTGTGCTCAGCAGCGCCTGGGTCTGCTCCAGCTCCGACTGTCGCTCCAGCTCCAGCAGGTGCAGGTGCAGCTCCACCAGTGCTGCACAGCTCAGTGGCTCCATGGTGGCACACTGGAAATGGCCAGACATCAGTGGCTGGTGTACTTCAGCCACCAGCATGATATAGGCAGTGTGGCTGTATGGTGTTGTGCCAGTGAAAAATGTCTTGAGACATATTTGCCAGAGGCAGCAGCCTGATGACCATTCATGACTTATTATAGGTACATTATTGGCATGTGGTGAAGCTGTGCTATCCTTTTATAGCTGCACATCACTCAGCTGATCTGCAAAGAAGAAATGGTCCACTACATAGTCTGAATCTGATCTCCCAAGGTCCTCATTATGCACCCCACAGACCGAGCTGCAGAGGACAGCTGTCCCCATTATCAGCCCACATATTTCAATCTTGCAATTACTACAAGGGTCAGGATTTGAGTGTGGGATATGGGGATATGGGGATATGGGAGTGTGGGATAAAAGGATATGGGTTTGATCCCACCATAACACCAACTTTTCCAAGCATATCAGATACCACACATCATCTAGCTCATGCATGATCACACATAGCTCAGGCTGCCCTTCAGAGCTGAGGTTTCCTGTGCTGTGATCATGTAAAAAACTGAAGAGCATGCCATCTGATACCCAACAGTTAGCTTCATAAATGGATGGGTCTCATGGGTCTCAGGGTCCAAGTACTAAAAAGTATTGCAACCCAGGTCTCACAAGGCAGCATTCTAAGATGCATTTAATTTGGCATTAAATATATAAATCAACCCCTGCAGCCATACTTGGCTGGCCATTAATCAGTTGCCATTTGATCCTGAACTGTGTTCTATTTGCAAAAATTATTTTCTCTGCTTGAGAACCCCACAGACAGGATGGACCTCTGCCCTGCCTGAAGCTGACTGACTGATCCTGAGCACTGTGAGGGATGAATTTGTTATACATATTACCCACCTAAGTGGCTGGACAAATACATCAGCTGTGCCACATGCCTATGTGACATCTGTGCACTGAACCTTGTTTTCACACTTATAAATCAGGTCAGGCCATGCTTTATTAAGCTTTCACTGTAATTTTAAGTGAGAAAAATGCTTCCAGACTATATTTTCCCATGCCTACCTTCACCATACCGTAGTTAATCAGAGTATTTTTACCTGAGTCTACCTTTGCAATACCACAGTTCCTTCAAACATTGGCTATGTGCTGACATTGGCAGTGATGAATGCTGCTACTATGCTGGATGTTTAGCATGCGTATTTTTTAAAATCTGGTCAGATGCCCCACATTTTGAAAATGCACTCGGTTGCCATAAATTTATCCCAAGCCTCTCTGCGCCAAACTGTTATGGCTACTTCTACACAGGCTTGGGGGCTGAAGTACTGCTGCTATCCCTTGAGCGATGAATGAGTCCCTCCAAGCACCCTTAAAATCATAACAGGTAAAGAATATATTTTCTTAAAGGGCAGATAACCCTGGCAGCCCAGTGCATACTGTGATCAATGGTTCCGACTACCGTAACCCAGTTCTAATCGCTAGCCATTTTACACTTGCAATACGCGAGCCTGCCATGGAATTACCGGTTCCTGCCTGCCCCACGCGCCCTCTTCTCTCAACACGTGCATCTATTTTTAGGAGAAACGACCACCGTGGGCAAGGTCCTATAACACCGTGAGCATTTTAGGCGCAGCAGGCAACGAACACAATCAGCTAGCGTTAGCAGAATTGCTCCAATTAAAAATCGCAATTCCCGCTGTAGGCATTCTCAATTTTGCACATGCACCGCAAGGTTTTTTATTCGGGACAATGCAAGGCCTTCCCCCGACGGCCATAGTCACTTCCAAGGAGATGGGGCAATAGCTTCCGGCTTGGGGCCGGGCAACGGACTGCGTTAAGTCGGCTTATGCTGTCGGGATCCTGGGTGCCGCAGGAGACCAACAAGGTGTCTCCGTCAACAAGTATAGGGTCCGCAGAGCAAACAAAAAGAACCCGAGACCAACGTGGTGGGCCCCTGAACGATCGGCAGTGCCTCGGCAGGCTGACATATAAAGTTCCAGAGCGCAGAACCCTCCAAGCAAAGGAGAATTATCCAAGACCATAAACTAATACCTCTGTGCGATGAAGAGCGTACGGGCAGGTTAACAACACAAGCCTTGACAGGGGTAAAGAGTCCTTCGCAGATGAGACCGAAGGGAGAGATCCCTCGATCAAAGTAGAGGGTCCCTGCTCATCGCATGTCTCCGTGCCTTACCTTATAGGAGCCCTAGCAACAGCACAAGGTCCTTCAAGCAAGTGGAAAGAACCCAATATTTATTTGAAGGGCCTGAGCAGCTTAGTGTACCCTGGCATATGGGGCCACGGGAAAAGTATGTAGAGCCGTTCGGGCGAATGGGAAAAATCCGTGGAGGAAAACCTGATCGATCAACGGTGCTCAGGCGTGGAGGCAAACAGCGTCCCATCAGCGCATTGTGTCCTACGAGAAAATGCAAAGAGATCGAGGGCAACGTGGGAAGCTCCTTATCGATCAGATTGGCCCGGCAAGTGGACATATGGGGCCAGGCAACGAACAGCGTAATGCTTCTAGACAGCATAATAAGTACCCAAATTTCTCCCAAGCAACACCTACTCAATCAGCGAAGAATGAATCTCGTTTGTCGATGAGCTCTACTTTTGCTAGTAATGGTCCTTAGTCGTGTGTAGGCCCAAAGGCATCCAATTTTGTTGTGTTTTGTTGTAGGAAAACTGCGTCCGTCCGGCCGATTATGACCTCTTCGGAGCCTTAAGGTCCGCTCGGCATGATCGATGGGGCAAGGTCTCATGCCTCCCGCCGCCCCCCCCCCCCCTCTGCATTTGCCATCGGCCCGAGCAGCTGAAAAGGTGGGGCCCACCAAGAACATTGGGCCATCCGTTCAAACAAGAAATACTCACGACGCAATATGTAAGGCTCTGAGCGATCGAGTGCATCCGAGCAGGTTAAGATGTAGAGCCAGCCCACGTCAGGAGCGTAGAGCCCTCCGTTCAAATAGCAAGTATTCAAGACCCAGTGCAGAGGATCCCCGACTGATCCAGTGCGTCAGAGCAGGTTAACATATAGGGCCCCCGTCAAGAGCGCAGGGCCCCTCCATTAAAATAGGAGGTGCGCGAGACTCGATGTAGAGGACCCCGAATGATCGAGTGTGCCCGAGCAAGTTAACAAATGGGGCTCCCAACACGAGCGTAGGACCCTCTATCCGAATAGGAAGTACCAACGACGCCACGTAAACGGCCCCAGAATGATGGAACGTGCCCGAGCAGCTTACCAGGAGGGGCCCGTCAAAGCGAAGAGCCTTCCATTGAAATAAGAAGTACCCATGATCCAGTGCGGACGGCCCCCGAAAGATGGAGTTTACCCGAGTAGATCATCGGATGGCCCAAATAGGAGCGTAGGACCTTAAATTCGGACACCAATACCCAATATATAGGGCCCCAGAACAGTCCAGTGTGGCCGAAGGGGCGAACAGATGGGGTCTCCGACAAGTACGTAGGGCCGTCCATTCAGACAGGAAGCACCCAAGACACAATACGGAGGGCCCCCGATCCAATCGAATCGAATGTGCCCGAGCAGGTTATCAGAAACCCCCCCCCCCCCCACACACACACAAGACCGTTGGGCCCCACATTCAGAAAAAGCAGCCAAGACCCAGCGTGGAAGGCCCCCAAACGACTGAATGTTCCCAAGCGGGTCATTGGATAGGCCCCCGACACGAGTGTAGGGCCTTAAGCGAGTGACAGGGAATTGGAAACGCCCTAGACCAACGTAGAGGGCCCATGAGTATATAGCAAGTGTCTCGGTAGATTAACCGAGACCCACGTAAAGGGCCTCTGAGCATCCGAGAATACCCCGGCAGGCTAGGATATGGAACCCCAGCTATAGCTCACAGAGCTTTTCTGGCGAATGGAAGGAATCCGTGGAAGGGACCGTGATTGACAAGAGTGCCCCGGCACGCTAACAGGAAGAGCCCCAACAGCAGCGCAGGGCCCTCCGAGCAAATGCAAAGAAATCAAGGGCAACGAGGAATGCTCCTTAAAGTTCGAAATTAATCCTGCAAGTGGGCATATAGGTCCCCGGAAAACAGCATGATCCCCTCGACAGTTTAAAGAAGCTTAAAATGTCCAGTTCACAACTTTTCCAAACACTGAATAATTTTTGAATTCTCATAGGGCCTTCACTTTCGCTTACAACTGTTCTTGGTCGCCTGAAAGTTCTGGGATACTCAGTTTTGTTGCGCTTTGTGTTACAAAAAACTACACCTGTTCGGCCGGCTATGGCCCCCTCGGAGCCAATGTGCCCCTTCGGGACCCAAGGGGAAATGACCCCGTGGCCCCCCCTCTAGATCCGCCCCTGCCCCTGAGTCGCTAAGGGCTCATATGTCGGTCAGCCACCACCAATAACGCGCAGCCGG